AGGTTGAAATAATGCCCACCGCCGAAATAAAAATATTTCAACCTCGCCTACGTTGAAACATTTTTATTCCGGCATGATTCGAACCCACTGTTTGCTATCCGGGCCGAGTATATTTTCAGTTACATTGTAGAAGGATGCCATCAATAATAATTGTCAAATATTTCAAACAACTTTTTCAAAATTTTGACGTAGGTAATTACCAAATGCAAATTTACGCATTTGAAATATTTTCAAATAGGTAAATTATATTAATTTGAAATCTTGCAAACAACAATTTAAGTGCCTATCGTTCATGATATACACCTAACAATGCGATATATAATACTATATATATCTTAGGATAATATTAGCAAATTGTTCCACGTTCGTTGACGTTTGAGGAAAACATACAGCCATATTTCTCATGGTGATTCATATGGGAACTAAAAAATCTGACCGAGTGTAATTTCAAACAACTTAGTTGCGAGTGCCGAATATCTGGTAAGCACTTAAAAAGTACATACAAATATACAAATTAAATAATTGTTCGTAAGCAATCAATTATTTAGGAGGTTAGGTATTAGTTGAAGTATGGTTGCTTACTTATTCTATGTACCTATTCGTGGATCGCATGAATGATGCAAGAACACCGGATGCTCTGTACGTGATTAATTACATGAAATTAATTACTGTTCGTTTTAATAAACACACAGATAATAATCACATATATATAAAAATATAAATATAAAAATATATACATATATAATAAATAAAATATTACTCTATACCACATATATAAGGCAAATATATATATATTCTATATATGGATAACTATATATATATATATATACCCAACCAGGTATCCTCGCGGTTCTCCCTAAACTATCATGGTTAATATTTTATGAATTCATCATGATGGGCTTTTATTTTCCTGTTTACATTCTCATCTATCATCCTTCACTGGTGCTCCGCCAGCAAATTTCGTTAACGCAGGCGGGGTTACCATACCATTTTCACCCATCAAAAAAAAATCAAGACAAACCTATATGTGAATGAACACAAAATATTACTTAAACCGAAAATGCTTTACAATTATTAATGCTTAACTTGGATACTTAGTTTTTAAATTATAATATCAAAAGTGAGAAACCTTTGTGCTAAATAAAGTCCGTGTCCGTATTATGAAGATATTTAGGAAAAAATAAGATTTCGAATTGTCCAAGGTTACCTAATTAAGATTGTGTTCCACTAAAAACTGACTTCAGTTGTGGCAAAGCCCATTTTTTTGATATCTCAAAACTAAACTACAAACTCATATATGGGACCAATCTGCAAGTACTGATCCTAAATTCCGTCATCCAAAACTCCCTTTACTAAAGTGCTCTTTCCCAAACTTTGTTTTTAGCGGACGCACTTTGTGCCGTGCAATATGAAGAGAAAAAAAACTGTAAGTACTTATATATCCTTTCAGACGCGAAAAGAATTTTTCAAAATTGTTTACGTTTGACGGCGTTATAAATCACAAACATTTAAAAAAATACAACCGAATTGAAAGCTTCCTTCTTTTTGAAGTCAATTGCAACAAGGAATATTTTATTCAGATATACAAGTACAATAGCAACATCGTAAGTATAACTGACCAGTAAGGTCATTTCATCTAGCGCATAGTTTTTTTTTTAATAGATGATAATGGAATGGCAAACTCGCCCGCGCTAATGGTATACACTAGCGGGGCAGCAGTAAGGAATGACAGGTGAGAATGAAAAGGCAGGTCAGTTAGCCCATTGTGATGAGATTCAGCACAATGGTTTCCAGAGGAGACCACGTGAAAGTCGACCTGACAGGTTATATTGCTAGCAATAGGACTGGTGGTCCGCATTACTAACTATCCTTTCTCCTTAAAACGTGTAGATTTCTTTAAAGGGTGATCATGGAATGGCAGCCACGCCTGCGTTATTGGTATACGCTGACTGGGCACCAGTGGGGGAAGGGATTGTTAGTAACGGGGCGGTTAGTCCCCTTCGCTATCAATATACCTTGTCTGGTCGACCTCCACGCGGTTCCCCCTGGAAGCCATCGTGACTAATTTATCGTTGAATTCGTCACGATGGGCTAACTGACCTGCCTTTTCATTCTCAACAATCATCTCTCACTGGTGGCCTGCTAGTGTAAAAGTAGATCAGTTGTTAGCTCATCGTGAATTTTACAAAAATTAAGCACAATGGTTTCCAAGAAGGACCGCATTGAGGTTGACTTGTTAGTGAGGATATATTGCTAGCAATAGGGCTGTTAGATCCCATTACTAACAATTCCTTTCCTCTCCTCCAATATGTAGGTTAGTATACTACAAAGTCTAACAAAACCACCCTTGAAAATGTCTTTAAATAAAATTATATACAGCTCGCAATAAAACACAAGGTTTGACTACGGTTGCCATCCCGCCTGCTAAACGTAGCAACTACTGATCCAACCCCCTAAGGGGAGGCCTAAATTCAGCAGTGGACAGTTACCGTCTGATATGATGATAATGAATAAAAACACAACGAAGCAATAACAAAATTCTGCAAAATAAAATGTTTCTTGACAAAATTATCTACAGAAATGTAAATCAAATAAAAAATTTCAGCAAAGTTGTGCAGTGACACGGCGTGACGGAGCGCGTAGGTAACTGTTATGCGTCGCAGCTAATTAGAATGTTTAGCGGCGACCCGTGACGGGACCCGGGACCTCCGTGACAGCCAACCAACTGTTACAACACTAAATATCTTAACTATTCAACTCGATTCCTTTAAGCTAAGTTCACCATTTTTATAAACATAAAAGATTTACGCTATGGAGTAACAGTAAACGTATTTAAGAATAAAGACTTTCTGCTATGATTTAATTAATATTTACAACTTATAAGAGAAGAGCATTAAATACTAAAATCGATGGAGTTAATTAACGATTGAGTGGTACTCAAATAAGGTTCAACTAAATTGCGTTATGTTTATGTCCAGAAGCATAGATTATATATCTGGGTCCTAATAATTAATATATTATTTATCTATGTCCAGAATTATTTTACCGTTTACTGTCCACTGCTGACCATAGGCCTCCCCCATATAGACTGCCATAAGGTACAGTCACTAGCCACCTGCATTTACTGACTGCCTGCAATGCATTTAAAGTCGTCGCTCCATCTAGCGAGGGGTTGTCCTAGACTGCGTATGCCTGTATGTGGTCGCTCTTCAAAAAAACCTTTCTTTCCCATTGGTTGCCGGTTCGTCGAGTTGTGACCAGCGCATTGGCACTTCAGCGTACTTATGTTAAACTATTATTTTAATTACCCACCTTAGATTATTTGACTGACTCTTACTGGTAGATAACGCCATATGGTGTTAAGTTCACCTTTTACACTGACAGGATTTATTAGTTCAATAAATAAATAAATGATTGTCTCTGATCTGCGTTGTACATAAAATAATCCTTAGATGAATTGATATTACCAATATAATAATTATCAATAATCACGCTACTTGGCAATCGATGACTAATTTAACATTTCATATCAAATCAATACAAAAAGGCTAAATCTATCTACGTCACTTGTTTTCCCATACAAAAGGAGTAAAGGGCAAATTTTACATATAATTGTTTATTCAACAAAATCTAATATTTATTACTTACTTATTGTATTAAAATACGAATAGGCACACATACACATATATAATATATATACATATGTATAAGTGCATAAAATTATCATGTACTATTGGTTAAAAGGTGTGATTTCAGTCTTCTCTTAAAGGAAGTAATGGAAGGACTATCCCGTATGTCAGCAGGTAGCCTGTTCCACAGTTGCGCAGCACGAAATGTGAAAGAGTTTCCAAAAAAATGGGTCTTACAAAAAGAGAGTTCTAAGACTTTGGACTGGACCAGACAAATACGCTTGGGACGTTTGGGAGGGAGCAGGATTCGAAACCGGGAGCGGAGATAAGATGGAGAGTTGGGATTATTAAGAATATTATAGAGAGTGGAGAGATTGTACATATTATGTCGAAGTCGATTTGGGAGCCATTTTAACTGAGCGCGAAAAGCGAAGACATGTTCATACTTATGTAGACCGAAGACAAATCTGATAGCTAAATTTTGTAGGCGCTCAAGTTTATTCAGTAGCTCCTCTGTCACATCCAAAAAACTAACGTCGGCATAGTCCAGAATAGGAAGCAGGATAGATTGAGCCAGCATGATTTTGATTCTGATAGGAAGGAAATATTGAAGTTGTTTGAGCGAGTGAAACGAGAAATGCAATCGCTTACTAATGTCGTTCACATGAGAGGACCAAGAGAAGTTGCTGTCCATAATTAAATCTAGGTTTTTTAATTTGTCGGTATATGCTAAGGGAACACCGTTATTAACTAGTGGTGGCACTTGAGACATATCGAGCTTGCCTCTAAGCCTGCTATTGCCTACAATAATGGCTTGAGATTTCGATGGATTAACAAGAAGGCCAAAAGCTTTAGCCCTAACTAACCGTATATTATATATATATATATATATATATATATATATATATATATATATATATATATATATATATATATATATATATATATATATATATATATATATATATATATATATATATATATATATATATATATATAATTAAAATATTGAGATTAACGGAATATATAGTCGAATTTTATGTATAAATAAATAATCTGTTCTATTTTATTAGGTAAGTACGTCATAATAAGTTTATGATTTAATTGTTAATTTGAAGAAGTCAGTCTTAAGTTTTTATTATTTATATAACTGGAAACGATAGATAGTGGCTTCAATACTCTTTTCTACATTGAGTACATTCAGTTAGGCTTTGAAAATATTTTAAGAGGGATGCTGCTGCCCATCCCTCGTCTTCCCTTAGTCGTCTCTTACGACACCAACGGGAAAGGAAGGGGTGGCCTATTCTATGCCGAGACACACGGCCACCAAATATGATAATGTTGACACAAAATAAATGAAAACACAAAATGATTTGATATTGTTTTATTATAGTTATGATAATTACAAAATAATATTACATTAAATAATATACGCTTTAGTTCATGTAACAAATTAATTAGGTAAACAAAGTTTCTGAAACTTTGTACTTTAATACTTTACAAAAAACGCTGTCTCTGTTCATAGTGATTAAAATAAAGCTGAACTTATTATGAACAATATATGCAATAATATAAACAACAATTGCACTAGGTAGAGGTGGGTTTTTTTAAGTAAACCGCAACAGCCGTAGTTCACATGGACAATTGACAACTGAAACAAAATACAAGTATGTTTACAAAACAAAAGTAAAGCGAATTATTATATTATTAATTCACCTTGATTACTTTTTCTATGCAATAACATTTTAAAAATAAACTACGTAAAAAAGTACTGAGACATAACATTCATATATTATGAAATTAGAAGTTTACACATTAAACTATTGCTTTTAATGTATAATAATTAAATTGTTCCATAAAAAAACCGACTTTAGTTATGTTGTTAAAACCAGTTATTTTGATTTAAAAATTAAACACAGAACCGATTTTGATAAAATTTATTCTTTATTGTACACAAAACATAATGTTAATCACAATTCATTTGAAACATAATGTACAAAGGCGAGCTTATCTCTAATAAGAGATTTCTTCCAGCAAAACCGCTCCATGTAAATCGTGTTATTTTAAAAATAAAAATAGGCAGTCATAAATTTCTATGGGACCAATCTGTAAGTATATCCTTTTAGATAAAAAAAAACATCCAAATCGGTCCAATCCAAATCGGTAGAAAATCAAATTTTACCCGACTAGCGGCGAGGATGCGTGACGGCGTGTGGTGGTGGCGGGCGCTAGGGCGGCGGCGCCAGCGGCACGAGCAACGGCTCGCGTGGACGGCGCGGTCGGCGTGGCGCCGGCCGCGCCGCCGCACGTAGCCGCGGCCGGCCCGGCCCGCGCCGCCCGCGCACCTCACCGCTACCACTACCACCACTCGTCTCGATGATCTCCAGTGGAGCGTCCGACTCCAAGAGGGCGGCGCCTTAAATATACAACAGTCGATTAATAGATTCATTTTATTAATATAACACATGCGAAAGTTTGCAAGAATCGATGGATATTTGTTACGTTTTCGCACAAAAACTACTTGACAGATTCGAATGAAATTTGGTACATGGATAGGTTATTATCCAAACATAGCATATATGTTTTATATACCAGTTATTTTGATTTAAAAATTAAACACAGAACAAAAATTTATTCTTTATTGTACCACATAATGAACACAAAACATACAAAGTATAATAAGAGATTCTTTATTAATTAAAAATAGGCAGTCATAAATTTTATGCCACCATTTCCTTTTAGTAAAAAAAAACATCCAAATCGGTCAAATATACGGGTATATAGCGGCGAGGATACACGTATACGGCATTTATTAAATATACATGGATCGTCTCGATGATCTCCAGTGGAGCGTCAAACAACCAATATTAATAGATTCATTTTATACAATATTATATCCGTGGATATTTGTTTTTTTTTATACAACTTGGACATGGATAGTTATTATATATAATATATAAGTGGTAACCGTCGCCGATGGACATGAGCAGTACCATGGACATAACAGAGTATATTGTTTCGCCCATGATACTTCCCATGCGTTGCCTAAGGACTCAAGTGTTATTCCTCTGTACCCTGTAATTTCACGCCATATCCCATCATTCAAACGGAAACACAGACATGCAAACACAACTGCTTTACGGTTGAAACAAGAATGGGACAGAGGTACCTTTACTTTTGTACAGTCTCTTTCTGGTACAAAGATTTTCAGAGATGTGCAAAATATCCCTCATACATTGCTATTTCCTTAGGATTATTTTCCTATGCCTTCGTAATTTGTATTTTCACTATTATATTCCATTCTTTAAGCCGTAACACAAATGAAACTGACCTCCGTTTCATTTGCTTTTGCAGACTTTTGTGTTTTTGTTAAATCTGCAGATACTATGAAGTAATAACAAATTTCAATTATAAATATATATAGAATAAATTAAAAAAAAAGCAGGCATGTAGATAGGTACTATTTCCCTGCAAAGGTCACTTAAGTTACGATTGCGTATTTAAAATATGATTAATTATTTCTGTTAGGAAAACTGTATATGTTTAATAGTCAAAGCTACACCACAACATACCAGCAGCGAGTGCGTCTGCATCGCTGGTCGCGGAGGTGGAGGGCGTGGCGGCAGCGGGGCCAGCGGCGGCCGCGGCGCCGTCGGAGCGGCGGCCCAGGGAGTGGCGCGAGCCCCGCGGGCGGCCCCGCCGCGCCCCGCCCCGCGCCGCGCGGCCCCCTTGCGCGGAACCACCCCAGCTACCTCCCCAGGGACTGCCCCAGCCGGCCCCGCGCGGCGGCGGCGAGTACGCTGCTGCAACACACCATTACACAGCTCAACTCGGAACCACTACTTTCCCCTTTAAAGGGATTAACCAAATATGTAATAATAAATAAAAATAAATGTAATACCCACGACAAATAGTATCGAACCTCCTATCCTTAGTTACTTGGCACGACATGTTACAACATTAATATGAACACTAAAGAATTTTTTTTTTTCAAAGTAAAATCATAGAAATTCACTTTGAGTATTCCTTCATTAATACTGACTAAACTAGTTAATCATAATGAAGTGGTCCCGGCATATAATGGGTCACCTTACTTTCCCATGCATGGTGTAAAAACAAGCAACTAAAGGAATTTAATAGTCGAGGGATGGGCAGCAATGTCCCTCTTAAAACATCACCAAAGCCTAAATGCGATTGTCGAACCACCTGCCAAGCGTGGCAACTACTGACAAAACACTCCAAGGAGGAGGCCTATGTTCACCAGTGGACAGTTAACGACTAATATAATAAAACCACTTGGCCAACATTACCAAGTAGACGAAAATGCTAGAACCCTTTTCAAAAGGACTTAACAAATGTTTAATGGGTTGTCAAACATTAGATATGCGTGTAAAAAATAACTTACTGGTGGTGGCAGTAGTCACGGGTGTGGCGTCCGATTCAGGCGGACTATCGACAGCCGGGGAGGACTCGCGCGGACGCTTCGGATCGCTCACTACCGCCTGTCAAACAAACATTACATACATTATTGTAACCACTTGACTAAAAATCAGCATTTTCAAACGACTTCAAAAAAAGAAGTTCTCAATTAGATTGTATTTTTTTTTTATGTTATATATATGTACTCTTTATTGTTTTAAAAAGAATACAACTTCATCAGTTATGAACCGATTTGGGAAAATCTTTTTTTATCTAAAAGATATACTTACAGATTGATTCAATAGAAATTATATCAAAATCGGTTCAATAGTTTAGTTTTTAAATTACAATAACTACAAGCCGCAATTGAAGTCTGTTTTTTTTATTAGAATACAATCTAAAATTATTAACAGCGTTCAGACACGGATACGGGATCGAAATACCCGTTGAAGTAACCAGATATATTTTCAATCTGAAATGATTCTATGATAAATTTATATCTTATAGCTTTTAACAAAATGTCATGACTTGATGGTAACTGTAACAAATTCTTAGTCCTGCTTACCGGTGGTAAAATTCCTAATTTCCTTTTTCTTTCTCTTTCCTCGATCAATTTCTTTTCTTCAGACTTTTGGCGATCTGTAAAACATATGGTTACGTTAACATGCTATAAATATTATTTCATAATTTAATGTTACTATAATTAAATCTACTTGAATAATAATCATCATCATCATTTCAGTTGTTGACTGTCCACTGCTGAATCTTCCCTCATAAGCCTTCCCCATAAGGGGAATTTTGACAGAAGTGGCTAAGTTTGGCAGGCAGGTTAGCAACTGCAGTTAGGCTTTTAGAGATATTTTAATATGGTACACTTCTACCTATCCCTCTATCATTGAGTTCCTTTAGTGGCCTCTTATGACACCCATAGGAAAGGAAGAGGTAGCTATTCTATGCCATTCTATGCACATGGCAGACAGACAGACAGACAGACAGATAAGGTATCTATGTACATACATAATAGGTAGTATAGAAGACCAAATGGCATTTACTTGAACAAAAATTATTTTAATTTATTTTATACTATCTGACCCCGTTAATTAAGACTGTAGTGATGTGCATATATTGTTTATATATATTTTTATTATAATATCATACTTACATTTAAGTTCTATTTCTTCATCATCCAATAGTAACGACACTACCTCTTTTGGTTTCAACGTGTCAGGTTTAAAGTTACCACCACTTATAACCATTCTCTGAATCTGTAATAAATAAACAATATTTACAAATATAACTAATGATCTATTTTATTATTAATTACTACTATATCAGCCGTTAACTGTCCACTGCTGAACATAGGCCTCCCCATTAGAGGGATTTTGCTAGTAGTTGCTATGCTTGGCAGATGGGTTGGTTTTAAGTGGGACATTGCTGTCCATCCCTCGATCCTTTGGAATAGGAAGATCCATTATATGCCAGAATTATACAATGAATACTACTAATGTAATAATGTCACTTCTTAGAACACTCTTGGGAAAGGAAGGGGGTGACTTATTCTATGCCACAACCACACGGCAAGACCTATGCTTTATTTACATTTCAAATTAAATAAAAGTTTGTATAAATAAAAACAAAATAATAGAGACCGACCTCGCTCTTCTCGCGAGCGCGCTGCATGATCCTCTCCTCGATGGTGCCCTTGCATATGAGCCGGTAGACCGTCACCTGCTTGGTCTGTCCGAGCCGGTGCGCGCGGTCCATGGCTTGCTGGTCCACCGTCGGGTTCCAGTCAGAGTCGTAGAATATCACCTGAATACAAGAATATCTATCTTCATATACATTATAGAAAATCTATATATATTTATAATATATTAGCTAATCCAGCAATCGTTTTGTCCCTACCGCCATCTATTGGATTATTTATTCTTACCGAGATAAAAACTATCCTATCTTTCAAGTTCAAGTTGGAGCAAACAATACACATTTATTAAAATCAGTTGAGCGATTGCCGAGATCAAAGCATGAACGAATATTGTGGCATGGCGTTTTTATATATAGATATATTTTTTTTAAATAAATTTAAGATCTATTTGCTAGAATACGCGATTTATCCCGTATGAATAAGGTATACAATTTTGTTTTGAGAACATTATTGTACACAAAATAGAATAGCTAAATAAAAACAGAGGCCAATGACCCAAAAGGGGTCTCTTTCAGTAAAAAAATCTTTTAAATCCCTTGCAATCTGGTTAGGTTAGGCAAGTTAACAAAAATACAAACACTTTACAAACTTTCATATAAATAATATTAGATATACTACATTTTGAGCTTATAGTTATTTAACTACTCACAGTATCAGCAGCAGTTAAATTGATACCAAGACCGCCCGCTCGCGTCGATAGTAAAAACACGAAGATATCTGCTCGAGCCTAGAAGTAAAAGAAAAAAAGCTATTAACGTATAATAAAACATAAAATAAAACGTAAAATAACAAAACTTTCAACTATTATTATATAAGCAGTTTAAATTATTATGAAAACACTCCCCAAGTTGTCAATTCGGCTGCGTTCTATTTTCTTTTTTTTTTTTTTTTTGGCACTACTAGATTCAGAATTTTTTATTTTTGTTAAACAAATTTATTTTATTACTTATTATTTTACTATTTATTGCACCAAAAACATAAAACTAAACAATGATATATAAACAATTCAACTGAAATACAGTAGTATGGAGTACAGATTAAAATATACATATAAAAGTATCTCTTATAGCAATCTCTTATAGACAACCTTTGGTTAAAGGAGTACATATAGAAGTGGGTAGGTGGCGCAAGAATGAATTAATAATTTTACGTATAATGCACAAAAGCATCAAATACATGTTATTTATTAAACTACTTATAATAACAAATAATATATAGTATATAGACATACACATATAAATATATACATGGCACTTACTAGGAAATATGACAAATTTAGTAAGGCCAAGTCCATCTCTATAGTATTTTTGTGGAAATTATTCTGTTTAACAAGATTTTATATAGTAACGTACTCACCTGGAAGTCAGCGACCATATCGCGCCGCGCTGATATTTTGCTGGATCCATCTAACCGCATATATTTGTGCTTACGATGCCACATGTATTCCTGCGCATAGAATTGATACAATTAAAATCTCACAATACCAACTTTGCTATTTAATCAAAACCATAAAACGCATAGTACTCTTTTATATGTTCAATTTGCCAATGGTAATGCAGCATTTTAACACTTTGCCCCAATCTCCGATAGTTATGGGTTCGAACCCAAAATTATCGGAGACTAACAATACAAACATTTGTATTCATAAGTATATCTGTTTGTATTGGTCAAACATCCTATATCTTATTAATCACGCGTACGCTGATGAAAACGCGTCTAACGATAAATTTATAATTTATTTTATATAGCAAATCGAATAAAAAACGTATTTATCTGACGTGTAGCGAACAACCAGTGTTGCAAGGTCCTTTATTAAAAAGCACTAATGTATCAATATTTGAGAATATTTTGATCCACATCAACAAAGTTCATTTGCCAGTACTGACAGGTTTTCCTGGGAAGGCAGAGCTATTTATTTATTTATAATTTAAGAACACATATATAGTGTTAGAAGGAAAATTGGGCGTCTGGGAATCAGACCAGTTCCTTGATACACTGGCTTATTCATTTATTTACTTATGCTTATTGTGTGGAAATGGATCATATTTTTATATACACAGGAGGAAGAAGGGATTGTTAGTAATTGGGCTTAGCAGCCCTATTGCTGGCAATGAGTCCTGTCAGGTCGCCTTCCCCGAGGTTCCCCCTAGAAATGATCGTGCTGAATTCCAGGTGTATTCATCACGATGGACTAACTGACCTGTTTTATCCTCACCTAACATCTCTCACTGGTGCCCCGTCAGTGTATATCGTTAGCGCAGACGGAGTTAGCATTCCATTATCATTTATTAAAAAAAAAAAATGTATACACATACCTCTAATAAATCTATCATCTTGGTCATCTGACTGTAAATGAGCACCCTGTGACCGCGCTCCTTCAGTCTCTTCAATAGAGAGTCCAATACAGTTAGTTTACCGGCATCACTCACTAGCTGGTTCTTGTCTGTAAATTAAATTACTGTTGTTACTATGGGATCATTTGAGACTTCAGATACGACAAATTATTATGCAGAGTTATAGTAAATAGTAATAGCTTATTAATACAAATATTTAAGCACCATGGCGTTTAGTCTTATATTTTTTTTTTAACAGAAACTATAATCAGCCTAACATATTAGATAAAACAATAAAATAAGATAATAAATAAAACAAATCCCCTTAAATTAAAGTTAAAATAAAATCAGCGAATCTATCAGATTTTTAATTGATAACTTGTATTTGACTAATTTATTAATTTTGATGGCTTTTCATCTGCGAAAACTGAATTATTTAAATAATATATCTGTGTTAAATGTTCTTTTGAATAATAGAAAATGAATCTGAAACTCACCGGGAACCTGTAAGGAAGCCCAACCCCATGGTGGTTTCGCGATGGCTACGAGCCGTGCCAATGTATCACTCCCCTCAGCACATTCCCCGTGCTGGTGCCTCCTCACGTGGTAAGCGAAGTTTCTCGAAACGGCAAACGGACAACGCGTGTTTGCGCATACCTGTTGGCAGTCGAGAATTTAAATTAGTCGATGTATGTGTAGAGTTATGTAATCCTTAGTAATCCTTAGTCGCTGATCATCCGTGATTTAACATCAATACATAAAATTGCAAACAATTTGCTACTCTCGGACAAAATATATGAAACGGATCATTACACTAACGTAACGCCGTGGAATGCTTGCGCCCGGCATCTGTACGGTCGTACGCGCATCGATTTTAGGACGGCAAGTTTGGCAACGCCGTATTCTTATTTGTATGCAATCATTTTATTATTTGTACATTGTTTACTATCGAAAACACATATAATACTGAACAAAGAGAATATGTCAGATACGAATAATACTCTAAAAATATATCCATTTCATTATCCCACATACATCTACTACTTTCACACACACACTATTTAGTTTTTATCATTATTATTATTTTTTATGTCGAATTACGCTTAGCAATATCATTCATGACTGATGATAATAATTACTACCATCATTGCACTCAATGAAAATGAAAAATAATTCATTAATTATATATATATATATATATATATATATATATATATATATATAACTTGCATCTTGCAACAATATTATATATCAATTAATATTAATGCCTGTATTTACACTGTTAATGTACCTTTTAAAATAGATAATTTATATTTTTATCAATCAAATAATTTCTCAATAAAGTTTATTTAAAAAGTATAATATAGTATTTTTAAAGGGTTTTTAGGTAAGGGTCCTGTAATTGGTGTGTCGTGTAAGTAATTTGTAATACAGGTTTAACACCTAGTACAGGCACCAGCTCCCACAATTAATATTGTTAAAATGTTCTACAAGTTATAGGTAGTAAGTACTTAATTGTTTGTGGTGATAAATAAATAATAATAATAATAAATAAAAATACCTTCTGCTGTGCTGTGTACAAGAACGGAGGCAGCGGTGTGGGCACGTTGGTATATAAGCGCGGCGGCCGCTCCGTATGCGGGAATTCGTCCAGCGTGGTGTCCGCAGCTGATACCGACATCACGCCTCCTTCCTCAGTCTTTATTTCGCTTAACATCTCCGTCTATGAATACAACCATTATTAGCATTCATTTAATATAATCATGCTAATCTATATAAATAAAACAAAGTCGGGTTAGTTAATACCATTTATAACTCCAAAACAGCTGGTCAAATTTTGATAATCTACGATTTGTTGGATTCATCTCCGCCCCGAAAGCAGAATAACTATTAAAATATCGGAAAGATTCAGGAAAAAAAATACAAAAAAAAAAAATTGTTAGGCGGTACGTCTAGTTATATAAATATCGAGGGGTGGGCAGCAGCATCCCTCTTAGAACATTACCAAAGCCTACGAAAAAACAGTTACCAACCCGCCTGCTAAACGTGGCAAATACTGGCAAAGCTCCCAAGGAGAAGGCCTATATTCAGCAGTGAACTTGTTTGCCATTTTTAATTTCATTTATTCAAAATTAATTACATTTGGTAAGATACAATATGAATAGAATAAATTTCAAAATAAAACTTGCAATTTTTCGTCACTGAGAATATAGGTCAATATCAAAATGTCGGACCGCAAGTTTTGCTTCATGTTCACACCATGTAATTAGTTGCTATAAAAATCGCTCACTAAAGTGTTTTGGTTTAATGAAACTAAACAACTTGGCAACCGCAGCTAGGCCTGGGTGGCTTCGACCTTGAAATTCCCTTAGTCGCTTACAACACTCACGGGAAACGAATTGGTGGCTTATTCTATGCCGGGACCACATGGCGTTTAAATAGAATTAATATCGTGAAACTTGTTAACGGATTGTGCTCAGATGTTTTCAATATGATGTCCACGGCCATTTTCTATCAACGTTCGTCTCGCCATCGACACCCTCATACCCTACAACCTAAATGGTCGCGTACAACGCAGTTTCAAAGATATTTTCTCTTACGAACACTCTGGTTATGAAATGAGCTCCCTGCCAAGGTTTCCTTAAGAGACTACAGCATGGGGTTCTTTAGAAAGGTGGTAAAGAGGTTTTTTATGGGTCGGTAACGCGCAATACCCCTGGTATTGCAGGCGTTCATAGGCTACGGTAACCACTTACCATCAGGCGAACCATATGATTGTTTGCTACCTCAGTTGTATAAATCGGACACGCTCACCTGTCCTTCCTTTTCTCTTAGATTCCTGGCCCGCAGCGCGCGATGTTCTATTGTTTCCTGCATATAGTGCACCGCGTGCTCGGTGTGAGTGTAGAACGGGCCGCCTGCAACGTAATGTAAATTCATTTGTAAAGTTTTATCGATATTTTTGCTTTTGTTATATATATTTGTATGTATATATTAGAACGTGATCACAGCTACGGGAAATAGCTAGTGTATTTAATAAACGGTATTCCTATATCTGTCTGCCTCCATGCAGCCATTTTGCACGAAACATATAGTTCTTACAATTCCCGAGCGAACGAGGACGGTATAGGCTTGAGCTACATATTTATAATAATAATATTATGTACTTATTTAACAACTTATATACGTGCAAAAATACAGCCTTATTGATCGATTAAATTGTAGGTATATTGTAAAACATTGGTAATGCATTGCTTTTACCTTGTGTCCATAGTGGATCTACGAACAATAGCTCCCTCCACATCAAACTATCGTGTTTTCTTCTCTTCAAAACATCACCATCGGGACACACAAGCAGCATATCTTTGCATCTCACTCTATTATAGTGATCACTGGGTACATCTGTCTCTGTCTCTGTCACTTCTTGTTTTATATCACAACCATCATCACTGTACCACCAGGTCTGTCTGTGGCGTAACTTCTCATATTTTTCAAGACACTGTTCTATATGTTGCATCCTGCAAAAAATATCAGAAGCATAACAATATAGTCCTCAAGACTGCCAACAAAGGAAAGGTATCATGAACAAGTCAGTATACTTTGTTATGTCCATTGTACTGTTCATGTCTATAGACGATGGTTACCACTATCCATCAAGTTTAATGTAAGTTGTATAAAAAACAAATTAAATATTAAACGTTAACAAAATAAATAGGATACATACACATACATACATACATACATGTATGATATGATGATACATACACTAGCAAATCCAAAAACTACCTACAGTATTTTGCAAATATTCCTATAGAGAAGTACAATGTAGCATTTTAATTGAACTCTATTGATGAACTCCACTTTATTACAGGTTCTTGAATAACGTTGTTAACGAATATTATTATGTAGATTTACTATAATTATAATCAATATAAACCCTTCATTATAAATGTGAAAGTTTGAATTTTTAAATTTAAATGGAATTTGTTTCATAAGTAGAATATAGCTATACACGCAAGTGAAGCCGAAGGAAGCAGTTAGTAAATGGCAATTTTATTTTTTATACAACTTAGAATGGCAAACAAGCTGACGGCCCACCTGATGTAAAGTGGTAACCGTCGCCTATAGACATGAGCAGTACCATGGACATAACAGAGTATACTGTTTCGCCCATGACACCCCCCATGCGTTACCATTCCTGAGGACTCAGGTGTTATTCCTCTGTACCCAGTAAATTCACGCCATATCCCACCCTTCAAACCGAAACACAGCCATGCAAACACAACTGCTTCACGGTTGAAACATGAATGGGACAGAGGTACCCAAGCAATCGACTTTTATACAAAGTCTCCCTCTGGTAAAATATTCAAATATTCAAGTTTTCAACCAGGCATAGAAAAAAATATGAATAACACTGCTTTTATTTATAGAATTTACAGAATACTAAACATAATAAATATTAAAATTAATACTAACAAAATAAATACTTACGCATACAACCATCCGCACAGCATAACTCTAAACACCTCCATAGGTGATAGGTCTATGAACTTTAAAAAGCTAAAACACTGGCTATCAACAAAGTCATAACTTCTGTGTATATGTTCTGGTTGCAATATGGAAAATATGTTGTACAGCAAATGCCTCTTTGATGGTATTGAACGTATCAGTATGCATTCCTCAGCCACCAATTTCGGCATGTGGTAATCATCAACTTGCATAGCAAATGGTGATTTTACGTCTCGCCTTTCGAATAGTTCTGGATGATTGCATACCTGTAAAGAAAACAACAAAAGTGTATCCAAAAAGCTACTTTTCAATATTAGGGCTCATTCTGGGGTGCCATTTCTCTATTAACCTTAATATTAATAAATTATTATTACATTAAAAGATACATTTATCTCTCGCCATCGGCAGGGAATCCTTACACCTTAGAACCAGAATGGTTACATACGCACTGTATGTTTCAGAGGAGTATGTGATTCATACAACACTTAGGTTATGGAATGATCTTCCTGCCGAGGCTTTCCTCAGAGACTACAGCGTGGGGTTCTTCAAAAAGCGTATTAAAATTTCTAGGGTCGGAAAAGCGCGCGTGACATTCCTGGTGTTACAGACGTCCATAGGCTACGGTTACTCCGTTTACCATCAGACGGGTCGTATACTTGTTTGCCACCATAGTAGTATAAAAAAAAAGTATGATAATACCTACATACCTTTCGAAACTGCATAACTAAATTCATTAAATTCGATGTGAAATTTTTATCTACATTGTGGCCGGACTCACCACCAACTGAATAATGGAGTAATTCTTCAATTTTAATTTTCTTTTTTAATGCTGAAAATTTTAATCTGTTATTAATAGATTATCTAAATACAAATATCATACTATAATTATAAATATTACTTAAATATAAAGGACGTAATAATAATAATGAAATATATACATATACTATACACTCCCTATATGTGCTGTAGTATGTATAAAAAGTAAATTTATACTAGAAAGAAATATTATTTATTTGTATTTTTTATACTTGTACAATTATGTTTAAAACAGTTTATAAATTTATAATCTTAAGAAATACAGTTATTTATTAGTATTCCTTTCTTAGTTTCTACTTCTTCTACGATTGATTGCATTTATTTTAGCACAGACTTGACTTTGACTATTTTTATTGGACTTACCTATGTACAAAAGCTTTTGCCTAATTGTTAATGGGCAATGAACCATAATCTCTATTTTATCTGACAACTCGTTCTCTACATCTTTCTTGATTCGCCGCAACATGAATGGTTTCAGTATCATGTGCAATCGAGATAAATGCTCTGTAAAAAAAAAATAAACATAATAATCATACATTAAAACTTTTTCAGGAAATATTTATTTAAATTGTCATAAGCTTCTCTCTAACTGACGAACATGGGTCCTTAATTAAAAAAAAAGAAGCGAAAAATGAATATGATATTTGATAAATTTTAAGAAATTAAAAATACAGAAAAATAGTCACTTTCAGTAAATAGACGATGTATATACATGTGAGATACTTAGGAAAAATTAATATGAGAGGTATTAATAAAACCAAAAGATACCAAAACATTTTTTTTTAATTTTGTCTGTTTCTTTGTATGTTTGCTCCGGTATTATACAAGAAATACTGAACAAAATTGGATGGAGTTTTCCTTATCGAATTTCAGGAAAGTAAATGAAAAACTGACGTTTATTATATCTTGAGGCGCCATCTGGAAGAGGTCTATTTCATTGATATTCCTACTTCTAAAATCTATGCGTATAAAGCTAATTAGAAATATTAACTCACTCTCATCTATAGTGCTTTTATTCTCAGCATGGCTTTCTATATCCTTTGAGAACCACTCGTTGAATTCCTCGTGCGAATCGAACAGTGTCGGCATTATAAAGTGGAGTAGGGCCCACAGCTCAGCCATACTGTTCTGTATTGGAGTACCTGGGAATCATATTCCAGACCTATAGTTTACAATTATTGCGTGGATAATACATTAAACAAGTTAAAAGTTAAATAAATTTAACAAGTGACTTATTTAACGTACTTTATAAACATACATACATACATACATATCTGTTACGCCTGTCTCCCATTAGGGTAGGCAGAAACAATGGAACGCCAAATGCTTCGATTCAAAAAATCAATTATAAAATTTTAAATTAATTAAAGGCTACACAGAATCCACATAAATCTTTAAGATTAAATGTTTTCTAAAGTCAATTATGCAATTTTATTTATTTATTTACTTTTATGTACACATTAAACAATTGTACATATTAGACAGACTAACAATGAACCATATGTTGTACAGAAAAAAGTCTTTTTTTTAATAATAATATACAATTTAAATAATTAGTTTCTTTATTACTCTACTTAGACATTGAAAAATGTGCTACTTACAGCCAAAACAAATAACAACCACAAACTACAAAAACACGTATCATGAGAAACCACATACCACAGATCAACCCTATATCTGTGGTATGTGGTTTCTCATGACCTAACCTCATAACCCAAAACACCTAAAAACTTTGTTTCGCTTAATAGAGTGTGTGAGGCTTAACCAACAGTCATTATTAGAAACTAGCGGCCCGTCCCGGCTTCGCACGGGTGGACATTTTTTAATTTTAAAAAGTGGTTATTATGACATCACGATAATAGTTGGACCATTAAGGCTGCACACGCGACGGAAGCTTAAAAATGGAGTAACTTCTCCCGTTTTCCAGTATGTAATATATCCAGTATTTATTCATATGAACACTTACCAGAGAGCAACAGCCTATTTCTACAACTGAATCCGAGTAACAGCTTCCACCTCATACTTGCTGAACTCTTTATAGCCTGTGCCTCGTCCAGTATCATATACTGCCAAGACACTCTGTTCAGGTACTTCAAATCGGAGACGACGATCTGATATGATGTGACAACCACGTGGAACGCGGCCTGACGTGTGTGAAGGTCTTTACGCTCCCAAAACTGACGAAGGATTTTGCGTTCACCAGGACTACCCCAATATGGCACCTACGGATGGATTGAATCAATATTTAGATTTTTATACAATAAACATCCATTCAGGAATACAGGAAAGATATGATATATATACAAACAAGAAGATATATATACTTCTGAGAATACAGGGGAGAAGAGAATGTGGTAAGAAACATATTTTATGTTTTCATTACACACTTCATCATAAAACAACCAACTAGTGTGACATTTAATACTACTAATATGAACTATTTAGTACTTACAATTATAGTAATGTAATATAAACAATAAAGAAAATAATATACAAACATATATATTTAAAATAATAAGTTCGCCATTTGTGTACAAGTGAAAAATCTTTGAACAGATATGTTATTGCTACCACATGCATGAGATAGAATAAGACAGCAATATCCGATGTGGCGACCGAGATAAAAAATTTCCTTAAATTGTATACTATAATGATACTTACAACTTTAAAATCTGGTACAAATCTCTGCATCTCCTGTTGCCAGTTGTGCAAAGTGGAGGCTGGAGATACAACCAGGAAGGGACCCCAGACCCCGAGCCGCTCTGCCACGTGGCACAAGAATGCTATGCACTGTACAGTTTTGCCCAGGCCCATCTCGTCTGCTAGTATGCCACTGATACCCTAAGTGATAACGAAAATTATAACAATAATTTATATTGTACTAGCCATTACCCGTGACAGTGACTATCGTTGTGAATATCAAGTTCAGGCTTGGTTTTTACAATATCGTTATACACACGCGTTATGCGGACGATAGGTGATTCGCGGCCCAAGTTTGTTCTGCAAGGTGCATTTTTAAATAGATTGCAAGGATGTCGCAGCACTCCAGTAGTATATCCATCCCATAAAATACGTGTATATCAAATTTCATAAGGCAACAAACTCACTTTCACATTTATAATATTAATAAGGATTTCCAGAAGAATCACATCATGCAAGTCTCTGATTACCAGCATGGCCATATCCAAAATTTGTTTAATAGATAAAACTAATTACAAAATTTCTTAATTACCAAATGTTTTTATTCATAATAATACTGGCTTTTCATCATCATCATCATCATCATCGTATCAATCATTTGAAAATAATACTAACCTGATCGTATAAGTTCGCGAGCCAATTCATGCCCTTTAGCTGGTAACCCTTCAGTGTTCCCCTAAAGATGGAAGGCTGTTCGTGGTCGCCGGCGCGGCGCTCGCTAGTGTCCGTCGCCGGGTCTTCCTGTGACGTCACACCCGCAGCCGCGTCGAACTGTTGCGTGCGGGCACGTTCTGCATGGAACGCCTCGCGAGCATTGCGGGACGCTTGTGCTTTCATTGCCTCACTAGTGACAATAGTATAGAAATATTATTTATTTATTTTAAATAAATACAAAAAGTTTTATAATCATTAACTAGCCGTTTCTCATAGTTTTGATCGTGTGAATCTGTACATAAAATATACTATTATACACATACTATATAAAATTTGGGATACTACATATTTTAATGTAGATTTTTAGAAAAGATTCTTTAACAATCGGGATCTCAAAAGACAATTCAACGCCCTGATTGTAAGACACTATGATATACTATTTCAAATATTTCTTTAAGAAACAAAACATATTATTATTTGTATTTACCTGTCATAATGGTCGATAGCCGTAAGTCTCGGATCTCTGTCCTCATCCAACTGTCTCAGTATACGGTCAGCACCAGAGTCGCCCTCTTCACCAGAGTTCATTTTACGCTGCATAAAGTGTGCATACAGTTCTGTCTGCGTTATTAAGAAGTTAAGTTTACGACGTTGACGTTTCGCTTCCATTAATTCCACATCCATCTGTGTAACAAAAAAAATATATCAGCACAGAATAAAGAATAAAAACAATTAATAAAAAAAAAACATGTTTATTTTTCACATGTACATAAAAATACCAAAAACTCACTATTATTCTCTTTAGTAAACTTGATACTCTTAATAAATAATCTTGACATGTCTTTTTTGAAACAGCAATACATAAAATAAACAAATACTTAAATTAAAAATGTTTTTATATTCATTGATTATATTATTGCATATTAGTACTTCTTTCTGATTTTAAATATTTCATGTCTAACTACTTGTAACATTACAAAATGTGCCAAGTATGTATTGAAAGATAGATTATTCACATAATGAGTACAAGATAAACATTTAATTTAATAGAGTAAGATATAAACATTTGCCTAAGAATTTTACTAACCTTTCTTTGTTCCTCAGCTTCCCTCTCCATACGGCGTCGAGTTTCCCTCTCGGCGCGATCATACCGTCGCCAGTAAGCTTGCATTTCGCGACTGAGCCTCTTGCATCGCCAGACTGTCTCTTTCATGTTCTTCTGAGACTGTAGGAAAGTGAAATAAATTATTGTAATTAAAAAAATACTAAAGCATAAATAGTACAAGCAAATGTACCCAACAAAACACGCTATTGTGTATTCACAAAAAGTTTCTGCTTAACAAAGAGCAATTCTTTCATGCAAAGAAAAACACCAGCTTTGATATAAAATTAATGTAGAACCATCAAGGGTATGAACACTATCAATAGAAATAAAATTGGTAATATCAGTTTACAATTTACTAGGAAAAAATATAAACAAATTGAAAAGCTCTTTCATCCTAGCTAATACACTTTTTAAATAATACACAGTCCAATTACTATGAAATTAAGTAAACAAGTACTACATGGGATGGATAGGGATATAAGCTACTTTTTATCTTTGTCAGTAAACATATCTCAGTCACGCTGGTCTTCTTGTCTGAGGTGAAAGCTAATTATAATATAGATTTGTAAGGTAATTAAAACCCTAACCTGCATAGCCACATGTCTCCAATGTTTACAGCACAGTGTTGCCAACCGTTTCCTTTGCAACATCACTTCCCTGTGTGTAGCTGCCCGTGCCCTCTGGATCTTTCCTAACTCTTTTTTGACTAACAGCAGCCAGTGGCGACGCCGACGGGCGGTCAAAGCTTCCGGACTCTTCACAGTAGATAATTTTTTACGGCCCCTAATTGTAAGCACGAAAATATGTTTTAGAACCATTAAATATATTTAAAAAATATATTTATTTTATTTATTTATAAATCAAACACTTCAATAAACCCTTTTACTTACTGTTATAGCTGTAAATAAAAAGGTATTATTGAAAATCTTTTAATTGAGATATATCTTTGAAATAATATTATTTTTTGGCATTTAAAGAGTTAAATTTAAAATTTCAATAATTTGTTTTAATATACAATTATACAAATATTAAAATATAAGCCGCACCTAACTCCTGGTTTATCTATACTGTACTCTTCACTATCATTCTCTTGTTTCAAATTTTTTAATTGTTCCTCCCATTCAAGATTGTCCACCTAAAAATAAATTCTATTATGTATTAAATATAATAATAAAAAATTCATTTAAAATTGTCCAGGCCATATAATTTTATATAACTCCTACAACAGTAACAAATTTATTTGTCTTTTTTGATAAGGCAGGCAAAACCAATATACAAATGTTATAATAGTTTTTATTAAAAATATTAATTATAATATTTTTTGTAATAAATGCCAAATATTCTTTAAATTGAATCACAGACTAAAAATTTACAATATATATTGTGATATATTTTTGTTAATCATGGTTACATAGAAAACACTAAAGGTATATTAGAGTAATATATATAACATATACTTACAACATCTGTTTCATTGCCAACCCTATTATCCCTACCACGGCCCCTTCTAGATTTCTGTACGCCTCTAGTAGCACCTCTTTCTGAAGGTCGACCTCTACGCCCTCTGGAAGCGGGCGGTGGTGGCACTGGCCTACTGACTCGACGTTCAGGATAACGATCCACAGTAGATAACAGGCCAGCACCATAATACATATAACGGGAATTCTATAAAAATGACAATTAAACTATTATTTTTTGTTTTTTTTTTTTACAACACAGGGGGCAAACGAGCATGCGGCTCACCTGATGGTAAGTGACTACCGCCGCCCATGATCACCCACAACACCAGCGGCATTGCAGGTGTGCTGCCGAGTACCCACAATCTATGGTGTATGTTTATTGCTATCATATGATGTATTATGAATTGCTGTAGAGTTACTGTTGAAATCACTATTACCAAAAGTTCTACAACTTTCCATATTAACTATTAATTTCCGACTGCCATTCCGTCCACGCACGTTTTGCAACATATTTCGCCTCTAAATGAGGCATCTTCAGGCAAATTAATAGACCACTGCTCGGAATCTATTATTAACCGTTCAACAACCAAACTGCGAATTTCACAATTCTAACAGTAGTCAATCTTCCAGCTTTGGCACACACATAGTAATGGTAGGGGAATTAAACAAAATAATTGTAATCTAATAATTAGTGATAAGAAATGCCTATTGCTTTATTATTACATAAACTAAAACAATATTATAAATAATTGTTGCATTCATCACTTTAGCCATTATTTATTTGAACTGGATGGACATAAGCCTCCTCCATAAACTGCCATAAAGAATAAATTAGGACCCTAAAATACCTGCATCCACTGACTCCCTGCAATGCAATTGTTATATTACAAAAAAAAAATCCTAAAAGTTCATTACTTACCCCAGGATCTTTGTAGTAATTCTTGACATATTTATTGTGATGATATCTTTCTTTCAACATCCTCTGTATCCTCATCTCCTTTCCCTCAGGGGTGTCATCATCACTGCTGCTTTCTGAACTAGATTCCAACAATATATCACGTAACCATTCTCGCTCCTCCCCAACAGACGCTAAGTTGTAAAGTCTTAGGCGATCACTTTGCCGCTCTGTAATGTAAACCACATTTATTCCTATCAGTGCTCACTATTTAGTATCAACATTGACATAGCAATTTTTTATATTTTTCCATGGTAATAAGCAATGCCAGTCCTAGTTTTTGATCAGGGTAAAGTGAGACTATCTTTTAATGTTTTCACTACATGTAAATTTTAATTTCATTTATTAAAAAAAAATAAAAATAATAATAACTCTCAAATTTACAAAAATCAACTTATTCTGCATGCTTAAATTGTTTTAATTAATATACTTATGCTTCTTTAATAATATTAAAAAGAAAGCTTTTACTTTTAATTTAAATTAGTCACTAAATAATAAAAACAAAATTGTATTTTGCTCCAAAAATTGTTTTTCACATTTGGCATTTTGACACCCCTTGTCTTCTAGCACCTTTATAATCACTCCTTTCACAATACCTCAGGGCTGATGCTGATAATAAGATATTTCACTACAATAGAAATGTAAAACTTTACAACTTTACTAGTTATAATTTTATTAAATACAAGATATTACTTATGACTTCATCCATGTGAGTGAGATATATACACTAACTGAAATAAAATGTAGCCCCATGTCCTTCACCATTGAAAATAGTATACCAAATTTTATAGTAATTGGTTGCTGTTAATAGCTGTTAAAGTGCTGAAAGGTAACAAACAAACACACTTTCACATTTATAAAAGAATAGAACTATCCTTATGGCAATTTACCATTGGGGGGATTTCACCAGTAATTGGCAGGAGTATTAGTAATAACACTTGGCAGGCAGATCGGCAACTGAAGTTTAAGTTTAGAGGATATTTTAATAACACACTGCTGTCTATCCCTGGGGCATTAAGTTCCCATAGTCATCTCTTACTACACCCATGGAAAAGGAAGGGGTAGCCCATTATATTGTTACCACATGGCTACATAGAAAGAGTTTTGGTAAATTTGAAACTATATAAACTTTAGGGATATGTCCAGGTATCACTAAACTATATAAATACAACTGCTTCATGGTAGTAATATGAATAGGACAGAGGTACTCAAACAAATCACTTTCGTACTGGACTTTAGTACAGACAACTTAATCAAAAAAAGAAAGCTTTTGAAATCTATTATACTTAAACATTAAAAGAATGTGAGATATATAAAGTAATTTTAAATAGTTCTATGGCACCATTTCTCTAAACTTATCTCTTAACCAAATATTTTAAGTTTTGCCAAATTACTTTTTTTTATACTGAGGTATAATAAACATACGACCGACCTGATAGTACCCTGTACAAGTACGACCACCTGCTGTAGTCTCTTGGGAAAACCTTAGCAAGGAGCTCATTCCATAACTGTTTTATGGGCAATTGTAAACTAAATGTTTATTATTTTTGTCTTAAATTTATTAAGTTTACTTTATATTTGTCCTTGAAATAAAGATTTTCTTGCAATATTGAGTTGAAATTTAAATTTTAGAGATAAGGGATTATGGGTGTTTCTCTATTGTATTGATCCGTCATCATACATTTAAAAAAATTTAGAATGGTTATTCACATTCATTCTACCATTCTGTTGTTTTTTAGTCATAAATACCAAGTAAGTCTAACCTTGTTTAGTAGTGACAACCCCATGAACGATTCTGTCTCCTTTAGACATCTCATTGACTGCTGACTTGACGTCAGAATCATCTTCACTCTCAGTTCCATCTTCTAGATTAAGTATTCTCTTCACTTGGTTAACGAATGGTCGAACATCTAAGGCGGCCTCCAGTCTCTGTATGTGAATAGGTCTTGCCACTTCATGACGTTTCAGTGTTGTCTTGCCCACAGCTGAGTTTTCAGTCATGATAACAAATCCTGAAACCATGATAAGAATTGAAGAAACCGTACGATGTTCAATAGATGCAGATAAAAACAAATTGACCACAAAAAGAGAAATAGCAAAGACAGAGTGAAAAATGCAACCACACTGTGGCTATCACATAAGAATTGTGTATAATTCCATTAAAAATTTGACCGTCCAGAACACATTGCAGAAACTTGAACTTACCGTTGTTGTTATCCTTGCGTAATTACTTAATACCAAATTCCATAGCATTCACAAAATGGCGCACGAGAATATTCGACAAATCGCTGTCAATGTCGCCGCCTGAGCGGCGCATATTACTACTCATTTCATATTTAAGCTCGAAAAAACACGTACCCGCCATAATTGAACAAGTTTGATAACTAAATAAAATATTTACCTCCACAGTCATTGGATAGAAATAACTCATAGATTTTATTAACCAATTGGCATATAATGTATTTATATTTCCACCAATCATAAATTTGAAACGAAAGTGAAGTCGAAAAACCTAATGAAAACAAAGTTATATTCCGGTATTTGGACGCGTTCCACCAAAAATATATTTAACTTATCAAATCTTTAGATAGAGACTTTAGATATAGCAATACAAAACTTATATTTATGAGAATAAAATCATCCATAAAAAATAAATACTCAAAATATAAAATAGATTTGACTCATTTTACAAAAGTTAGTATTAGATAAGAATATAAAATAATTTAATAAAAGTAAAAAAAGACTCAATAAAATAATTAGTCTGTTAAAAAATAAAAAAAATAATTAGTCTGTTAAAAGTAAAAAGCGCATATCAACTCAATTGAATACGTAGTTTTATTGTTATGTTTCGTAAGCACACAATTATATTTTAATGTAATAATTACCGGTTTAATAGACGTGTAATTAAATCGAGAAAGTTCGACTAGTTTCGGAATCAATTCGTAACCCTTAATCACGAGTGGCCTTGATGCGAACGCGTGTTCGATCAGGTCAACTACTCTACTACACTCGTCTTTTACTCCTTATTTGTACCGATACTTATATCACAGTTATAAAAACCTACAACTATGTCTCTTTAACTACTAACGCCTCACTAACGTTGGTAGTAAGTTTAGCAGAATCACTAACCAAAATTGACGGTAGCCATTTAATTAAAAAAAATTAAGAATAAAAACAATTTTGAAAAGTTCTGATTATTTAAAAAGAATTTTATTATAAAATTAAAATGTTAATCCTAAAATACGTTACATATAAATTAACAACTAAAAATCTGAAGCAAAATACATAATAATTGCAAAACCTGCTTTATATTTTACTACCGAGATTTTCTTTTACTTTTTTGCCATCAAAATTCATATTTTCAGCGAAAGCATATATACAGCATTCTCATTAAAAAATAATTAACATTTATATTCGCTTACAGAGATCTTTCTGAATAATTAATTATGATGGAAAATATAGAATTAAAAAAAAAATACAAATCATTCGGCTTTGCCACACTTGCCGTGTGGTTCCGTTATAAAATGGGTCACCACTTCATTAGCCGTGGTGTCATTACGATACGAATAGATTAGGAGAATTTAAAAGTAGATGGATGGTAAACAGCGTCCCTCTTTATAGCCATTGCCATTACCAACTCGTCTACTAGTATGGCAACTACTAGGAGAACCCTCCAAATGGGAGGCCTGTGTTTAATAGTAGACAATTAACAGCTGATATGTTGATGATCACATTTCGCAAAGCTTCGGTATAAATGTAAAAACTGCATAATCTGGTTAGATTAATAAATAAATTAACTAATTTAATTTAGTATCAAATAAGAAGATTAATCTGTTTCCACTTCAGGCTTTATTTTATTTTACGTTTAATATTGCTACTTGCCGTGTGGTCCCGGCATAGAATAGGCCATTCTTTCCTTTCCCGTGGGTGCCGTAAGAATCGACTAACGGAAAGCGAGGAATGGTTAGCAGCAGCATCCCTCTTCAACATTTTTAAAGCCTAACTGCGGTTGCCATCCCGTCAGCCAAACGTGACAACTACTGGCAAAACCTCTTAAGAGGAGAGGCGATGATAATAGGAATATGATAATAGTGATTGTTACTTGCATGATAAAGCAGACGGAATTGATCATTCATCTTTGCTTTAAATTACAGCTTAGCTTTATATTACTACAAATATAAACGTAGTATAATGTATCGAAGCGTTCTTACACAATTCATGATCATTTATGGGATAATTACGGTATTAATAGCAACACTATTGAAATCCTGAAGCGTCACTTTGTTACCAACATCACTATAAAATGACTTTAAAAAAAATAAATGACTTTTTAACAAATCTGAACTTTGATGTGATTTTCAGTACTTCATCATAATAGAAATAAATTTTATTTTATTAGAATTGCCATTCCAAATAAGTTAATACAATAATAAAATAACTTATTTTATTTATAAAAGGCTGAGTAAGGTGGCTGTTATGAACATCCGCAACCAATTTGCAGGGGGGGGCTGGCAGGTTAATTCCAAAATGGTGGTCGTTTGTTGTTCTTTCAAGTGTAGTAATTTGTAAAATTATTTAATATATGTAAGTAAACACGTAAATAAAGTGCAATATTATTTTGAATAAAGAAAATTTCTTGTATTAATTGTTTGTACATAGAAACGTACTGACTAGACTGTGAATTTATGTTGTTCATTACAAAGGAACTATTTGACATCCTTGATTTTTTTGATTTTCATTAATATTAGTTCAATAGTTGCCTCATAAATAGTTTATAGAAAGTATTGAATATCCTAGTTGTTAAAAATTTACATTTTAATTTTGAATAACTTCAAATCGGAGAATGAAATTAGCGCGGGATAAAACCTATACATATTTAGCGTCTTTTGCTTTACATTTAAGTTTATATTTTAGATTCAGCTTTATCTTAAAGCAAAATATGTATGTGAGAATAGATTTGATGTATATAATTAGTCTCTAAGTATAATCAATTTGTCAATAAAAATAAATTTTATCCCTGACTAGTATAACCTAAAAATTGTACCGCCGGCGTCGTCAATATTGTATGATAGTCTAATAATTTTTCAATGTTGTTTTTAGGTGTACTTCGCTTTTTTATAACCAATGGTGAATTCCAATTAAATTGGAATTATGGATGATAAGGAGCCGATAATTGAAAATTCAAAAGAGGCTGTGATTGAAGCCTCTGGCTACACAGCGACAGATGATAAGCCTACAGATATTAACACTATGCTGAAATCGCCAAGCGAGAAAACTGAAACTGATGAAGTAGCTGATAATAATGTAAAAACTGATAGTGAATTGAATACAAAATCTAGTGCAACAGAAAACTGTGAAATTAGGGAAAGTGAACTTCAAAATCATGTGGATCTTGCAAGTGATAGTGATAATGTTAAGGACAATGAGTTGAACCGAACTAGGACAGATGATACAGAGTCTGATCATGATAGCCAAGAAGATCCCAAAGACAGTGGTATGTTGTTTAATTTTTCCATCTGCTTTTAAATTAGTTAAATTGGTTTTAAACTTTGTTACACATATTTATAATATGGTCTTCAATTATTTATAAACAATAATTATACTTATATCTATAATTCATAATGGGATAATCAGAGGCATTTCTCAATGAATGCTTTTTTGTATACATGATATTGTCACATTTCACTGAACGTAGCAAAACTTAATTTGGCAAAGAGTGAATCAACCATTGTCATAGTGATATCATTGTTGATCATTATTTAAAACTGATATGGAAATTTAAACAAAGCCTTTGGTGATAGATATAAAATTACAGCCTTTACTGTTTATATATGTTAGGATAATATACTACTGGGCCAGAATACTACTATACAATTAAAAAGTAAGAAAATTATTATATTTGAACTATTTAATTTACAAATTAAATTATTAATTTGTATCAAAATTTTCTACATATATAATGTTTAAATAGATTGGCCAATATACAAATATATTATTTCTATTTTGTATGTAATATATTAACTATGAACATCTCAGAATGCACAGTACCTTTTATAGGTTACAATTCATTTACTGCCAAATCCCTTCAAACCACAACATAGCCATGCAAGCATAGCTGCTTGGTGGCAGAAACATGAGAGATGCAGTTCATTTTGTACAGTGTCATAATGTCAGGCCCATAATCAAAATTACTTACTGGGAACTATCCCAAGTTATAGATGTAATCCTAATTTAGAGATAATTGACAATTAATTCAATTTGAAAGTGAAATTTATACCTAATCTTATGAATTTTAAAAGGTAGATAATATTATGTTCAATCATGAGACCTTTAGTAAAAAAGTGGGTAGCTACATAAATTTCACAATATGAAAAAGTAAAAGACCTTCTTCACATAAAAAAAAAAGTAATACAGTATTCTGTCAATAATTTTAAAATTCACCTAATGAACAGACCTCTGTTGTTAAGTCACATAATTGTTTACTTGTAAAAGTAAAAAAAAATTTGTAAGTTTAAGTATTCTTTACTGGAAAGATTTGAAATTGTGTTGCTTACAAAATATAATTATTTGTATAGGAAAGAGTAAAATTTATCTTTATCAACTTAATTATTATTATTTATTATTAATTATTATTATTATCATTGAAGCCTCTTTATCAACTTCCCTAGTCTTATTAAATGGCACATAATTAAGTCTCATCATCTATTAGAAAACTTCATGTAGATAAAAAATCTTAACATTTAATGAACGCTAGTATAATCATTAGTTTGTCATTAGCAATGACATAATATCTTCATTCTTAAAATTAATTTCAAAATGGTTTGCCAGAACCCTAGCTATCAGTGTGTCTCATTTAATCTTGGATATTTTCTTATATTATCTTGAATTAGTTCTAAATTATTACAAAAGAATGGTAAAATAATTTCTAATAATCATTATCTATAATTAATTTTAATTTCTTTTAAAGAAGATAATAGAAAATATATGATTAAATCTTATTAAAACAGAGAAAACACATGAGGAAAAGGAATACGAGGGCACAGCTGATACCCGAGAAAAACCTGAGGACATTGCAGATAAGTTAAAAGAAGAGTCAAATAGTCAAGATGCTATTAGTCAGGAATCTATGATAGAGGAAAATGTAGAAAGTTGTCAGGAAAAAGAAGAGAAAAATGATAATGAGGTTGGAAAACCAGAATTTGAACATGCTCCTAATGTATCTATGGACGAATCAGTAGAAGATCATTCCCAGGTAAATTTTATTGTTGTTGAATCACAGTTATAAGTAAAAATACCAATAGTATTCTTGTACTGGTAGATATTTGATTGACATATTGTGTCTGTCAAATATCTGCTAATAATGGCTAAAATTGATTACTAGCTTCAAAGGGCTTGAACCACATAATGTACTTTTAGTTATAAAATATGCTAACCTTATCATATTAAACATGAACACTTGTTATTTTTTACAACCATGTGGTCCCGGCATAGAATAGCCATCCCTTCCTTTCTTGTGGATGTTGTAAGGGACTACTAGGGAGGGTGAGGAATGGGCAACAGCATCCATTTTAAAACATCTCTAAAGCCTAACTGTAGTTACCAATCTGCCTGCTAAGCATGACAACTACTGGCAAAACTTTCAAGCTGAGGCTATGTTCAATGGTTAAGAGTTACAGGCTGATATTATGAGTTTTTATTTTGCATAAAGGTCCTAGGTTTGATTTGTGACTGGGCTAATATAGGAAACAATGTTTTTTTTTATTTATCTCCAGCTCTGGATGGGTTGTCTCATCAAATATTTGTTACCTGATTCTTCAAGACACAAGGTATCACCAGAGGGAGACTTTGTACAAAAGTCGTTTGCTTGGGCACTTCTATCCCATTTGTGTTTCTACTATGAAACAGTTGTGTTTACATGGCTGTATTTCGGTTTGAAGGGTAGGATATGGCAGTGAATTTACAGGGTACAGAGGAATAACACCTGAGTCCTCAGAAATGGCAATGCATGGTGGGTATCATGGGCTAAACAGCATACTCTGTTATTTACATGGTACTGCTCATGTCTTTAGGCAATGGGTACCATTTTCCACCAGGTCGGCGTTTGTTTGCCATTCTAAGTTGTATAAAAAAAACAAGGTATCCTACCTTGAGGATTGGTTTAATTATGTGGCATTTATATATAAAAAAAATATGACCCTGTACAAATCGTCTGATCCAAGTCAATATTTCTGCAGATTTTTGTCATATGTATGTGTTGAAAGAATTTGACAATTAATGCAATTGTAAATGAATTTCCAGGCATTAGATCCATTCGATGCATTGCTGAAAGACAGCAGATCTGACACAGAAGCTGCAACTACATCGCAAGCTGAATGTTCAACAGCTGTTGAAGATGATGATGATCACAATGCAGATTTTGATGGTGACAATGATGAACAACATCAGGGTCAGTTATTATTATTATTTTATTTTGGGGCCTATCAGGCTAGGACATTCAAAGTGCAACCTAAATCAATAATATTTTTTGCACAGATGTTTACACACATCATAGAAAAGTAAACTGTTTCACAATATTCTAGTGGCAATTTAATCCTGAAGATGAGAAAGGAGAGCTGGCTTAAAATTTTATTACACATAAAATGTGACATTATGTGAATTACACATAATACATAACAATATGTCTGTTAAAAAAATCATTATAAACATGCTTCCAGAAGATCCTCCTCTTGATGAAAGTGGCGTAACAGAACTAACGGACGAGCCGGGAGCTGATGAAGAGGTATGTTTATTGCCTGACACGGAGAGGGAAATATCTGAGGCTGATAAAGCAGAAGCGGAGAAAGTTTTGGCTGAAAAAAGAAAACAGGCTGAAGGTAAACTAATTTAATATTGATATAAGTCTCTTTACATTTCAGTTCACATATTTACAAGTTGTGAGCAAGGTGGACTTATCTCTGACAGAGATCTCTTCCAGTCAATCCAGTACAGTAAGAAAGCATTTCGTTAGCAGCTGATATAATGATTATTCATTCTTTTATAGGTTAATTATAATATATGTAATGATTAATTGATAAACCTATTGAACTCCTTTATAATTTATCATAGAACTACCCTATTTTCTCTCCCAACTCGCCAATTTCGAATTTTCAATTTCATTATTTTGTCATCTATGGAAAGATCATGCCATTCCACAGTACTATTATCACATTATCATTAACGAAAAATTAAAAATGTCTATACAATTGCATATATTTTATTTTTTAATATATTGTGACTATAAAATCATCTCCTATTACGATATACATAAAAACAACGTTTCATACATCTTTTTTTGAAAATTATAATTCTTTTACCAGCCCTAGCAGTACCCAAACAAGAAAATGAAGCTATGGATATTGATGACAAAGCAAGCAAAGAGGCAGCAGTCAACAGTGAAAATGCAGATCTTGAACAAATGGATCTTGATACAACTGCAGAGGATGCGTCGCAAGAGAATGGTAGTGGTGGTAATAACTGTACATATTATGTATGATCCATTGACACTTCTGCAATGTTATGTTTCACTTTTTTAACAGTTTTAAATAGTACTTTCTCATTTATTAAACGACAACATTTGATTATGGCTAAAAAGGGCTAATTACAGGTAGATAGAAAAAAAAATTACTAAAATATTACCATAATCTGTCAATCAACTCCTGTTACACCAAAAAAATTTGCTCGCATTGTCATACCTTCCATTTTATGCCTTCAGGCACTTTTTAATAAAAAAAAAACTGTGGTTTATATTAAATAAACATATACACAAAGCTTACTCTAGTAATAATTATATTAATAAGTATCATATATTTTTTTTGTTTCTGATTTCAGAAAAAGAAAATGAATCGGAAGAAACAATGGAAATGGATAGTATGATACCAAATAGCATTCAAGAGATTAGCCCCGTTGATGCAACATGTGTGCAATGTCAAAGAGAACAACCCTGCTCTTTTCGCTTCGATATTAAGGAAAATAACAGAAATTATATTTGCAATGACCAATGTATTAAAAACTTTCAAACAGAACATCCGGGACAATATACAATTACTCATAAAAAATATCTAATAGAGGAGATAATCTCAAAAGTATTAACTTGCTCAGAGTGTGAAGAAAAGAAAATTTGTTATTTTTATTATAACTACGATGGTGAAGACACTCACTATTGCTCGATGGCTTGCTTAGAAAGTATGATGGCAGATGAAAAGGATAAATATGCATTTAAGAGACGAAAAATTGTAGTGACTGAAATAGAACCTGTAGATGGTAATTGCACTGTTTGTAATGAAGACAAAAAGTGTTCCTATTCTATGATAAAATATGGCCAGCAAGAATTAATCTGTGAATGCAAATGTATCAAGACATTAAATGTCGCCGAGAATTTTAGGTATGCAGTAAAAAATAAAAGATTTCCACGCAAGTCTCAACAGCAGCAGCAACAGCAAGCCCAGTCGAATCCACCTTTGTTAAAATTGAAAGTTATTAGTAATGCAACAGACAAATATTTAGATGAAGCTTATAAAATTCAGGCAAAAACTCCAGGCATGGTACAAGCTGCTAGAGAAGAAAGAGAACGTACATTCATACGCAAATGTGTTCATTGCTCATTAATACTGGATGTGGATGAGAAAATAGTCACTTGGGAGACTATGGACTTTTGTGATGAAATTTGTTTAGGAAGATATCAAAATAAAATTGGATCTAGGTGTGCTAATTGCAAAAATGCAGTCCAACATACAAGCTTAGGAAAGTATTGTGTGAGATTTGGATATGATATCCGACAATTTTGTAACTCTGGGTGCTTAGAAGAATTTAAGAAGGGTTTAAAAATATGCTGTTATTGTCAGAGAGATATATCCTCGGGGCACCAAGGTTTTCTGGCGCCAGTTGGTGATAAAGGTCAATTTAAAGACTTCTGCTCTCAAATTTGTATGGAGAAGTTTGACCAGATGAATAAGAACTCAACACCCCAGATAGTTTGGGCGAAATGTGCGGTATGTTCGTTAGAAAAGGGTACATCTATTGAAGTGGAAATTAATGATAATGTAACGCAACGGCTCTGCTCGGATCCATGTTTTGCAGCTTTCAAATTTGTCAACAATATTTTTCCAGGTAATTTTGTTAGTTCTTCCTTGAATTATGGGACATGTTACTAAATAAAACCTGATAATATTATATTTATTTATAAATAAATTTTTTAGTCCAATGCACTGCCAATTATTCTTTCTGTTTAACACAATGCTTGTTGGGTAGAAAATGCCATTCATGTCATTTGTATGCATTAGAATATATATATACAAATGAGTAAATAAATAAGTATTACATAACTAGCAGTTAGCCCTGTCTTTGCATGGGTACAAAGAAGGATAAATTAGTATTTTATATTAGTTTTAATATGCTAAATTTTTAATATGGATTACATAATTATATGTTTCACAAGGATCTCTAATTTTCAATTAATTTTAAAAAGAATTCTCAATTCTCTGTCAGTTATAAACCGATTTAAAAGATATATTTACAGTTTAATCCCATAAAAAAATTATCAAAATTGTTCAGTAGTTTAGTTTATAAAACAAAAAAACTGGTGTTATCACAATTTTGAAAATTATATATAGCTTATTTTACTCTGTGATAATGTAGCTTTCTATAGGTGAAAGAATTTTTAAAATCAGTTAAGCAGTTTTGAGTTTAATTATACAAATAAGGAAATAAACATACAAAAAATATAGTATAGATGAATGATATGTTGCAGATCAATGTCGCTGGTGTAAAAAATACTTCGAGCGCAAGCAAAGCAAGTGCTTCACTATCTACGATGCCAACACACCTAATTGTTTTTGTTCCAAGTCTTGCATGAACGTGTACATAAGTAATACTCGACATATAGTGCCATGCAACTGGTGCAAAGTGAAGAAGTACAATTTCGATATGATCAGGCGTGTACAGGCCACTGGTCAGGCTGTTATGATGTGCTCACTGAACTGCTTAAATCTTTATCAGGTCTCCGTAAATGCTGTATCTTCTAGAAGGTAAGATTGTAATATGTATGTGATACAGTTTCTTTTTTTTTTTTGTATTGTTATTTTGATCCAATTGTAATGCTGTCGTATTAATATAATTAATGCTAAGTTTATGACGATCAATGGATGAATGTTTGTTATTCTTTCACACAAAAGTTATTGAACAGACTTCAATGAAAAAAATGTATTAAACATAGGTAGATTATATCCTAATTTATCACATATGATACTTTATATATTTACGCAGGAGCACCCGTGAGATATGTCTAGTGAAATAATTATAATTTATATCTTACCCAATATGTGTTTCTTTCAATAACAATATCATTTTCTCTCTTTTTTACCATAATAGTATAACTTATTAAACAAATAAAAATAAGTAGATGAGATGAAGGTACGAAAAGTGAATTCCATTTTAATATATTTGAAACACATTAACAAACAGTAATGATAATTCTGAGCATGTTTATTTCTTATTTATCATCACATACACTTTCAGGACGAAATGTGATATGTGCAAACGAACCTCAATGGCGCAATACCACTTGACAATGTCGGATGCCACTGTTCGAAACTTCTGTACTTATCAGTGCGTCATGACATTCCAGGTATGGTATTATTCGAAATTTGTGATTTCTTTTTTAAGCCAGAATAATGATAAGCGCCACTAGTGGTGGAGCCAATTTGTCTTTGGTATACCATTCCTAGTAATATAGAAAAAAATATTTTCTATCTATGCACATAATACTTATCTATAGTTATAATTTTAGCTAATGTTTCATCTCTTTCTTTCAAGTATATTCTTAATTTGAATTTATTTAATTACATAAATGGTAAAATATGCATATAGCAATGGCAAACAAGATAATAACCTGTTTGATGCGTAGTATATGTTGCATATAGGATTACAGTTACCAATTCAGAGGAATATATTCTGTATCTAGTTAGTTATTCGAGTCTTATTTATCTATTTAATCAATCAAAACATCTTTATTCATATACATCTGTTACAAACCCTTATGATACGTCATTTCATAATTATAATAATTACTATATAAAATAATATTGTTTTAATTTATAGTCATTAAAAGTAGTAAAAGAATTTTCCAATCGATTTATAAAAGACAGTTATGAAGTAGCAAATATAAATATACAACCGAATTCGGAACAACCTTATTTTAAGAAGTCTTTTAAAATGTAGTTATTACAATAACTTTTGATTTTGTAAATGAAAGTCATTTGTAAATGGCATATTTATATTATAAATGTCATCTTTATTTGTTGTAGAGTCAGTATTCTAAACATGCACCACCATTGCTACCCGGCGAACAGATAGATCAAGCTAAGGCCGTGCCAACGGGCGCGCCGCGACGTACTTACACGGCGTCTAATAAAAATAACGGTATACCATTTTATATATTTATATTATAGCAGACGTATGACAATGTCTTTCGTTTTAATCAACTGACTGGCTTTCTATCTTCAACTGAATATTGATACTCATCTATTTTATCTATGCTATGTTTATTGATATTCAGGATAAATACAAGGATATGCAAATTGAAGTGGTAATAAGATGGTGATATAGCTCGAAAAACTGACGACCGATTGCAAAGAAAGGTTCTTGAGTGGCGACCCCGTACGGACAAACACAGTGTAGGGCCCCCCTATTAGATGGAGTGACGACTTCGAATGCATTGCAGGGAGTCAGTGGGTGCAGGTGTCTCAGGATCGTTCATTATGGCAGTGTATGGAGGAGGTCTATGTTCAACAGTAAAGAAATAATGGCTGAGATGATGATGATGATGATGATTGATATACAGGTCTTGTACTAAATGACTATGTTTGTGAATTATATACGCATTTATGGGATTGAATTAATCTTTATTAGGTATTATTTAAAGCACAGAATACAGATTTTACTATGATACTAACAGGTTCATTTAATACATTATTACTTTACAGCAATGCCTAAAGGACAACAGCGGACAAGTTTGCCAGTAATTTCAAATGTCCAATCATTAGCGGGCCCGCCTCCTCTGATGCCGTCAATGACGCGCGCCAAATCCAAGCGGCTCGCACAGCCGCCGCCGCCGCCTGAGCCCGAGCCCCCACAAGTCCCCAAAACACCTCCTCCGCCTCCCAAGCCCCCTACGCCCCCGCCACCGCCGCCTCCCAAAATTTATAATCACGTTATAGTGAAAACTCTCCCCCCTCAAGAGGTGGCGAATAAGGGTACGATGTCGAAACCAATGATGGTGTCTAAAGGAGTGTCATGCCGTCCTCATCCTTGCACGAAGGAATGTCAAACAGACCCGAGTCTAGAGAGGAGGGTACTAATCCCGATACCTGTTCCAATATACGTACCGGTGCCGTGCGCTATGTGGTCATTACCGTTCCCAGTACCGGTGCCAATACCTCTACCGATACCCACTCCTGTATTCATTCCTACCACCCGGAATTCGGCTAAGGGCATCATGAAAGAAATAAACAAAATCCACGACAAGATGCCAACGGATCCATTCGAAGCGGAGCTGTTGATGATGGCGGAAATGGTAGCTGGTGACAAGAAGAAGGATCAGAGTGATTCAGACACAGATGATGATAATGGTACCTACCATGCTAGCTTGACTAAACTTGAAATAATTGCTCTTTTTTTTTGTACAATGGTGGAAAATAAGCACTAACTAATATCTCAACTAATGGGAAATTAAAGGTCCTTAAGAGATGACTGCTTACAACTTAGTGTAAACTTCAATAAATAAGGCTTAAATGTATTACAGGGAGTCAGTAGCAGTAGGTGACTCAGAAATGTTCCTTATGTCTTGGAGACTGAGATTTATATGTGAATATTTATTTGCTGAAATGAATTGATGAAAACTCTATTCTTCCCCCAAAAGAATGATACAGATTGTAAAGATTAACAATATGTAATTTAAAAAAATTGATCATCGTAATTATGTTCACTTATATTAATAATATTTTATAGAGGAAAGCTTCAGTCCGGTGGCAGGCATGGATGGCAATAATGCATTCGGAGAAGATATGCTGCAAATGGCGCTGAAGATGGCCACAGAGTATGAAGACCAACCTGTAGATTTGGAGTCTGCTATGACTGCTAACACTATTACACCCAGTTCACATCCAGGCATGCCTGGTAAGTATTAGATTTTTTTTTTTTTTATAAGTCTATATAATAAAATATTTAACGAGATGACAACCCACTTAATCGAAAGTAATGATTATTGTCTATAGATGTGAATTAACACTGTGAATATCATAGAATACGTTGCTATTTCTGAGTCCTGAATAATGTTTTAACGTTAATTATTTACTCAATGAAACATGGTTTTAAAAACGAGAAAACAATTTTCAACCTCGTTGGAGGTGTGAATATGGGAAACATAATAATGTTCAATTTCAGTAGTAACTTTTTTTATGTGATGAAAATAAATTAGTAGTTGGCGAGATTAGTACATTGGCGAGGTACCTGTGTTATTCACTGGTAGATGAAGATAAAATCAGATCAGATGGCCTATTGCAATGAATTCTTCAGGAATTAATCACGATCGGTTTCTGGAGGGGGGGGGGGACTTCGTGGTGATCGATTTGACAAGATTGTATATCTTATAATAACTTTATTTCCTTAAACAAAATTAGCCTGTAGTACAATATAACTATGACCCCACACTAGGCAAAGCGTGTCTCGTGATCTATTTAGCAATGGAACAATAAGATTTCAATACTAGCGTTCCCCTCCCCCCTTAAACTTTTATGCTTTTTAAAAGGTGCGATTACTGTATGTAATATATTCGACCAGGTCTAGAAGGCGAGGGCATGCACCACCACCACATGATGGTGCTAGAGCAGCAGCGCGCGGTGGCGGCGCTGCGCGCGTCGTCGGCGGCGGGCGTGGCGGGCGTGGCGGGCGTGGCGGGCGTGGCGGGCGTGGTGGGCGCGGGCGCGGCGGCCCGCAAGCGGCCCGCGCCCGCCGCCGCCGCGCGCCCCACGCGCACCTCCAAGCGGCGCCGCGCCGAGCCCGCGCCGCCGCCGCAGCCCGACCCACCCCGCGAGCCTGCCGAGAAGCCCGACGCCAACATGTGCTTAAAGGTCGGTCCCGTTCGCTATCGTTCTCTTGTAGTTTGTACTAAATACAGATTTAAGCTAATTTGCCACATTAATTGTTTTTTTTTTTTTTTGCTGAAATAGTAATTAACTCCGACTGTTCGCGTGCAAATGTGGAGCGTCGTATACGTGAGTCCATCAATGCCTAAGTACATTCTGCAAAAAAAACTTTAAAAAGTTTAATGACGAACTAATAATTTTTCACACGAATAAATAGCTTTATTTGAAAGATCGGTTAGCATGTATATTCCATTTTTAAATTATAGGACAGATTTGAGTTTACATAGTAATTTATCTGGCCACAAAACACGACAGATATGGATTTTCATCATATCAGTAGTCAATTGTCTTTTCAAAATAATGTTCACATTTCCAAGCATGTTTGAGAAAAAGTACATTGTGGCCTTATTACGCGAATGAAAGATCGGCGCGTGCACAATGGAACATTAAGTGACAGTATTTATATCAGCCGTCAACTAGTCTTTTCCATTTTGGAAATTAGACGGCAGACGAGTTGGCAACCGCAGTTAGGCTTTGATGATGTTTTAAGATCGACACTGCTGCCCATCCCTCAACCATTGTTATTATTTTTTTTTAAGATTTTTGTTAAATGACAGTATAAATACTATTATTTCTATTAGCATAATAAGACAAACAACTTTCGCACTCAATATTTAAATATAATATTTAACAATTGTAATATTTTTGTAGTACACGTTTGGAGTGAATGCATGGAAACAATGGGTGATGACAAAGAATGCGGAAATAGAGAAGAGCTCCATACGGCGGAAACCTTTCAAGTCAGAAATACTGCAGCTAACGGCGGATGAATTGAACTACTCGCTGTGTCTGTTCGTTAAGGAGGTGCGGAAACCGAACGGCAGCGAGTATGCACCAGATACAATATACTATTTGGTCTTAGGTATGTTTTAATTTTTACTTTTATAAAAGTCATAACATTTCTAAAATTTTTATGTACATAATTTTTTTCCAACAAAGTTTACTACGACTAATTTTATATTTTGGTTATTCCTAAGTTTTTTTATTTACTTTTTTTGTTAAATATATTTACTCGGTTTTTAAATGTTCCGGAGAATTAATTCTGAATTCATTTTTTAATTGTCATCTGGGGCGTTGGGTTTGTATAAAAATTGACATATAACTCTACAAGTAGTATCCGTCTGCTTCTGCTTTGATCAGTAATTATTTTCTGAAAGCCTTATGTGGACTTATTAGAATTCTACCCAAGATTCAATTAATCATGATGCAATATTGTTTTGCTAGCAATTCAATCCCCATTACTAACAATCCCTTCTCCCCCCTATGTGGATTTATTAGAATTCTACAAAAATTCAACTGTTGGCAATATTGTTTCTTTACTTTCACAATTTCGCTTTTTTGATATACTTGGATAGGGATAGTTTAGTCCATTTTTATCCATATATACCTAGGTCATAGGCCTGATGATGATATAGGAATAAAAAGATCCTATTTAAATTTATTCTGTGGTGAGCTGTCATCGACGCAACACGTGCTGTTCATATATACATTAAAAATACTGTTAAAGAAGAATATAGTGTTTTGTTTATCTATTGAAGTGAATATTTCAAAGAAAACAGAAAATAACAGAAGGAATCTAATGTAACAAAACTGCAAAATTTGAGGTTAGAAATAATTATTTTGAAGTGTCACATAATACCAACCTATTATACCTGACATTCGTCAGTGTTACTAGAGGTGATATACTTAGTGTTGCCATAACAAATATAAATTTTTATCCATTTACAAACAGATAACAATAATATTATGGATAATTTCGAAGATCTTTTTACTCGAATGAAAATCGAAATGGCAAATCAAACAAAAGAAATTATTTCGCAATTAGATGAAAAATTAATACCTTTTACGCACGATATAGAAAAATTGAAGCTAGAAAATAAAATCTTGAAGGAAAAAATTTCTAACTTAGAAAAATATAAAAGAAAAAATAATCTTATTATTTATGGAATTAAAGAGAACGAAAAAACTGTAACTGATCTCATGGATTTAATTAAACAAAAATTAGGGAATGATTTAAATATCGGCCTAGAACATAGAGATATAGATGCTATCTATCGACTTGGCAAGAAAGATATAAATAATCCGAAAACAAGACCGATATTGATTTCATTTGTCAATGGTTGGATTAAAAATGAAATAATGATGATAAAAAGAAACTTAAAGATGCATATGTTTCTGATGACTACCCCAAGGAGGTTCTTGATACAAGGAAAGAATTACAAAAGAAACTTTCCGATGAAAGGAACAAAGGAAACTATGCAGTTATAAAATATGATAAACTGATTATTAAAGAAAAGTCATTCTCTGTAGAAAAAAGGAAAAGGGAAATATCAACTTCTCCAAAGCCCCAACAACGAAAGCAGTACGTCGCGTCCAAAACAAACAAAATAAATGCATATGACGTAATGAGAGGAAGAAGTAACTCTTTTACATCTTACAACTCTGCATTTAAAGAAAATATAAAGTCATCAGTCACCGTAACAGTATACCGTATATTAATAAAACTAATACAAGCAAAACATTTCCCAAGCCGATTGGTCCTCGTGGGAAATTAGACCATCACCCTTCATCTACAAATATAAACATAAGAAATAGATTAAAAAATGATAAAAGAAGATATCTAAACATATGCACATATAATGTGAATCATTGTCATCAATAGAAAGATTTACAACTAACATATGCTCTCAGAAATATAAACTTTGATATAATAGGGCTATAAGTGGGTTGTAATATTGAAGAATACCAAGATTATATTTTATGTTATATTGGACAATCAAAAGGTTTATATGGAGTTGGATTTTTAATAAAGAAATCATTGAAAAACAAATAGTTAGTTTTACTGGTGTCTCTGAAAGAATAGCGCTACTTCAATTAAAATTCGAAGATTGGAATATATCAATAATTCAGGTATATGCACCAACAGAGAGTAGTACAGAAATAGAAATTGAAAAATTTTATAAAGAACTTGAGAAAGCACATACTTTAACTAATAACAAACTGATTGTAATCGGAGACTTTAATGCTAAAATAGGATATCCTAAGAAAGAAGAAAACATCATTATGGGCAAATATGGATACGGAAAAAGAAATAAACAAGGCGAACGACTAATAGAATACGCTCTCGAATATAAACTATCGATAACAAATACATTTTTTAAGAAAAAACCGTCCAAAAAATGGACTTGGCAATCACCAGATGAAAAAGTAAAAAATGAAATAGATTTTATATTGACGAATATGCCAAAACTAGTAACTGATTATAAGTTATAAATAATATAGAATTTCCATCTGATCACAGACTTGTAAGAACAACTTTACAATTAATATTACCGAAAAAAAGCAGAATTAAATTTAATAATATACCAAGGATTCCCGAAACAGAAATGGAGATAACAAATTTCAGGAACTGTCTGAATTCTCGTATTGAAGCAAAAATAGAAGGAATCACAAATGTCCAAAATTACTATGATGTAATAGAAGAAGCAATATTATATAGTTCAACGATCAATACAAATAGTAGAGTTAAAGAGAACAGAAATAAAATATTCAGTGAAAATTCCAAGTCCCTAATAAAACGAAGAACAGAATTGGCATTTACAAAAAATAAAACAAAAGACATATATATATAAAGAAACAAAAAAGTCAATTAGGAAAGACTATAGTGATTATAGACAAAAAATAATTAAGAAAAATTTTAAAAAATATAAAAGCACTAAACGAGCTTTTAAAGAACTAAACCTGCATAATACATGGATACAAAGGCTAGGTAACAAATCCAATACAATAGTATCCAGAGACGATATATTAGTCCAAGCAACAAATTTTTATAAGGAACTTTATACAAAAAAGGACGAAGAATTTAAAGTAGAACAAGAAATAAAGTGCACTAGTAAAATAAAAACTATCGATGTAATACACGAAAATGAAATATATGAAAGAATAAAACAACTAAAATCTGATAAAAGCCCTGGTCCAGACAGAATAAGCAATGAAATTGTGAAAATTAGCACACCTGTTCTACTTAAATACCTTACACAGCTTTTCAACATGATATTAGATACTGAAATAGTACCAAAACAATGGTGTATGTCAGATATATTATTGTATAAAAAGGGCAATCCATTAGATATAGCAAATTATAGGCCAATTAGCTTACTTGTGAGTATATACAAACTCTTCTCATCTATAATATTAAGACGAATAACAAAAGAAATTGATAAAGCACAACCGATAGAACAAGCCGGTTTTCGTTCAGGATTTAGCACAATAGACCATATACAAACATTAGAACAAGTAATAGAAAAATACAATGAATTTAATAGACCTTTATACCTAGCATTTATAGATTATAATAAAGCCTTTGATAGCATTAGCCATAATTCTTTATGGACTGCCCTGAAACAATTTAATGTAGATCAAAAATACATAAATATTTTAATATACATATACTCAAATAATTATAGTCAAGTTAAACTAGAAACTAAAGGAAGTAAAATAAAAATAGAAAGAGGAGTTAGACAGGGGGATCCTTTATCACCTAAATTATTTATTGCTGTATTAGAAAATATTTTCCAAAACCTAAACTGGAAAAATAAGGGTATAAAAATAAATAGGTGCTATTTAAGCCATCTTAGATTCGCAGATGATATTGTTGTACTGGCTGAGACAGCTAAAGAATTGGAGAATTTGATATATACTCTAGATCAGGAAAGTTTCAAAGTAGGCTTAGAAATGAATACTACAAAAACTAAAATAATGACCAACAGCTTAAAAATACCAATTAAAAGAAGGGAAAACAACATAGAATACGTAGATAAGTACATATATTTGGGTAAACAAGTATCATTTAACAAAATAAACAACGAAGAAGAAATAGGAAGAAGATGTAACATAACATGGAAAAAATTTTGGTCCCTTAAAGAAATTTTAAAAGGAGATTATTCTATAAATATGAAAAAAATTGTATTTGACACTTGTCTTTTGCCTTGCTTATTATATGCTAGCCAAACATGGATTTTTACAAAGAAAGTTAAACAAAAAATTACAACAACACAAAGAGCTATGGAAAGAAGTATATTAGGATTAAGAAAAATACATAAAATTAAAAATGAAAAAATCAGACAAAGAACTAAATTAACAGATGCAGTCACACATGCTCTACGTATAAAATGGCAATGGGCGGGTCACATCTCACGATTTACTGATAATAGATGGACGTTTCAAAGTACGAAATGGACAGGACCACGAGGTAAGAGGAACGTTGGTAGACCAATAAGACGGTGGACTGATGATATATTAGAATATACAGGAAAAGACTGGTTTATGATAGGCAGAAACAGAGAGTTGTGGAGAAAGATGGAGGAGGCCTTCACCCAAAGAGGGGTCCATATCCAAGAATCGAAGAAAAAATTACACTAACAATTAGTTATTAAGAAAAAATATAAAATAGATTAGATACTAACAACACTGTATATATATTAGGAATATGGAAATAAATAAAAGGCTTTATTATTATTATTATTATTTAAATTTATTTTAATTTTCATTACAGGTATACAACAATATTTGTTTGAGAATGGTAGGATAGACAACATATTCACAGATCCATATTACGAGAAATTTACAGATTGTTTGGATGAAGTTGCTAGAAAATTTTCAGTTTTATATAATGATTCACGTAAGTATTTTTTGTACTATTTGTTATATTATTCAATAATACTTGTATATAAATTATTTTAATTTTTATGCTCTTATGCTATTTGGTAGTTTACACAAATTCATATATTTGTAAAATTTATCATATGTGTAATGAAATTTATAGCAGCATATAGTGGGGTTTTTGTCAATTCTAATCAAATCGGTCAGAAAAACATGACTGTTTAGAATAGTCATGTTTAAAATGAAATTTACTTGGATACAAAATGTTTAAATAATTCTATTATAATCGAAAACCGTTTATTTTGAGAAATAATAAAAGAAATTTCTTCAATGTACCTTTATTAACAATTTTAATTATAAAACATACGAGTATAAAGCGACAAATGGCAACATAAAAAAAGAAAGAAAAATATTTCGCTCATTGAAATAGATATATAGATAAAAAATGTAATCGTATTATGCAATCTATGTTATTATAAATATGACTAATTTTGTTTGTACAGAGTATATAGTAACGCGTGTAGAGGAAGAGCACCTATGGGAGAGTAAACAGTTGGGGGCTCACTCGCCGCACGTCTTGCTTTCCACACTTATGTTTTTCAACACTAAACATTTTAATTTGGTGGTAAGTGAACTTTCTATGGATTATATTTTTAAATGTGTAATGTCTCTAAGTCGGTTGTATTTTTAAATCTTTTATTCATAAGAACGTCAAACATAAACCTATTGTAAATATTGTTTTTTTTTTTTTATGCTAAATTCGAAATTTAAAAGAAAGTTACTGTCTATACTTAAAATGGATATGTAGAAAAGTGAACTGCAAGAATATTATATTTTCCTTTTTATGTATAATAAAATTATTGTTTCAGACGGTAGAGGAACATATGCAATTGTCATTTTCACACATAATGAAACATTGGAAGAGAAATCCAAATCAACCGGGTCAAGCTAAAATACCTGGTTCTAGGAATGTGCTTTTGCGTTTTTATCCCCCTCAGTCAGCTCTAGGTGAGTGTATATAGATATTTATATTAGTTATGATGACTATACAGGGTGAAAAATAATTTGTTAGCATCATCCATGCTTCTCCCAGTGAAAGTGTTTCCACTAATGGGTCGAAAAAATGTTTTGAGCACATACTATCGCAACACTTCTGTTGTTAGCTAGTATGGGGTACTCAATGGATGTTTTATATATATACATATTGATTTTGTTTTTTTTTTTTTTAATGCTAGTGTGTTAACCAACTAACGTTAAAAAAATGAAATTAACCATTAATTAAATAACTTTACAGAAGCAAATTCAAGAAAAAAGAAAGTATATGAACAGCAAGAAAATGAAGAGAATCCACTTCGCTGTCCTGTCAAATTATATGAATTTTATATTTCAAAATGGTATGTTAATAATGTTTTATTAGTATTATGAATGAAACTATTGTTAGAAGATTATTTTTGTAGCTTCAGTTGTCAGTTTGTTTGCCATCTCCAGTAGCATAAAAATATATGATGTCATAAGTAAGAAGATAGGCGTATAAATAGATTAGTTACGTAATGCAATCGAAATACATGTACTGCGCATAATTTTGCGGAGTAAGGTTGGCAGCCCACATTCTTAATACAATAGCGTAAAAACAATAAGTGTCAATGTTAAAATGAGAAAAGTCGTTCCGTCTTGATTTGAGCCTATGGAAACATTGACGGATGGAAGGATTACGAAATAGATATCCGATGTCGATATTGAAGGATGCAGGTTTTTTCATGCAACTTATAATAAGCTGACAAGTGGATGACCCACTTGATGGAACGTCTGAAAATATTTAGACCAATGAACTAATGTAACTATCTGAAGCCTATGATATTATGCCTTCATATTCTCCGTTTCACTTCATATACCATTTTTTTAATACATGTAAAAATACAGTCATGCAAGTACAGACAATGCTACTTCATTACAAAAAACATGAGTGAAACAGAGGTAAATAGATAGCTATAGATTGGGGAGACTGATCATTAGATCATATCGATAAATAGATTTTACTATTTGTACTTTATAAACTGACATATTTATGTTTTTTCTTTGAAGGGAACGATAAAGAGATTTCATTCATTCATTTATTGTCAGCCCGGAGTCGGTGCGCACGCGCAACGACGTGTTCTACCTGCAGCCGGAGCGGTCATGCGTGCCCGACTCACCCGTGTGGTACTCCACGCAGCCGCTCAGCCGCGCCGCGCTCGCCAAGATGCTACACCGCGTAAAGATGGTCAAGGAGATCAACATCGCGCTGCTCACTAGCTAAGGTTCTTACCGCCACTCACAAGGCATCATCACTACTCACATTCATCTCTCTCATCTCATCATTCATTTACGTAATTTTAATGATTACTTTACATATAAGAAAGTCAAAACAAATAGCCAATACATTATCATTAGCCAATGAAAGCTCTTCATTGCAAAAAGTAATATATGTATGGCTCTAAAATCTATAACTAAATTCCAGATAAATACAAAAATTTAAAAATATACTTGTTGTTTTTATTTTTGACAGTGATATTAAAAGTAGTTTGTAGTCAATTTGCACATAAACATACAGTGTCCTATATTTACAAAATAAAGCACTTAAAAATGCCACTGTACATGAAAGAACATTTTGCACGCTAATAATAGCAAAACATGTTGGATCTATACAGGTCCTTCAATGAATAACCAGTATGTCTTTGTACCTACTATACACATATTTGCAAATAGATTTTATCATCATCATATCAGCTCTGAACTGTCCACTGTTGAATAATGGGCCTCCTCTATTGGGGTGTTTTCTCAATACTTGCCGCGCTTGGACGGCGAGTTGGCAACAGTAATTTAAGTAGTAAAACAGGCTTTTGGTGATGTTTTAAGAGGAATGCTGTTGTCCATCTCTTGACTATTAAATTCTCTTAGTTGCTTCTTACGAAATCCACGGGAAAAGAAGGAAGCAAATACATTTATTTAATGCTTGCCCATCAAATAGTCAAGCTAGTATTTCGCTGGTAAACATCAAACAAAGCAACTTTCAAAATGAGCAAATCTCATTATGTAAATTTTTTCTATGTTATGTGATTACGTTCTAAATCTGAACTGTTTTATTCTTCTGTTGCTTCCTAATTAATTTTGTGAGAAGTTGTCGTTTTTCACTCGTGGAACAAAATATGTACATGATTCAACATTCTAAATTAAAAATTTTCTTTTAAATATAATTTGTCTATAATGAACTCCAGAAATATTATTTATCTTTGATCCTGGGAAGTCCGTGACAACTACGTGGGCCAGCAGGAGCTGGTCTAAAATTCTTTGCCTTCAAATATGTTGAAGCGTAAAGCAATCATATATGGTAAAATAATGTCAAATATATCAAAGATATTGAACCCTTTTCAACTCCGCATTCTAAATTAAAAACTTTTTTAAATATACTTTGTTTATGAAACTATAGAATTATTATTTTTTATTTTTTTCCTAATAGTCTTCTATTGTATATAACATGGTCTGATTTGTTCACAGATTTCCCTGCATCGTCTTCTGAGAGAGAGTCGCGGTGATGAAGCAGGTCCTAATACAGCTACATGCCGTTCTTCAGATCTTTGGTTACTGTATGCAAAGTGTAACAATCGCATGTTCCGCATAAACACAGTAAATGCATAAACGCAACCATTTTATTGTTGTAAAGTTTACAATGTATATTTTTTCTACTTTGTATATCAGTCTGCGTGAGGACGGTCAAACATTAATTTTAATGCATAGTCTATAATAGATGTCTTTTTTTATAATGTTGCAATGTTTTAGTGTTAAGATTACTGTGCGGGACTGTTTATGTATGTACAGATATGGTAATATTTTCGTCATTAATTAATGCTATATAATTTATGTTTTCGTCATAATATTTTATAAAAGATACGAGTCGTAAACGATGAATTTATTTAAATAATTTTCTAATTAAAATCCTGTTGGTTTGGAATCCTTTAAATTTGTATATACGTCAAAGAACTTGCTGCATCTTGTTCTTTTTTAACAGCACAGAATATTGGTCACTTTTCTCTGTGCCAGAAAAGATTTTATTAATATTATTACATTTGTGTAATATGTATTTAAATATTAATAATAAAATAAATAATAGATTAGAAAATAAGTGATAAATTCCATTTTTTTAGAAGACGCACTTTTGTGTTTATAGTAGCGTTAACTATTCATTTTACAAATCGGGAAACAATTTATAATATTCTCACAAATAGAAATTTTTATTACAAATAATATAACTTAGTGAAAGAGTCAGATTCGTATTATATTTTAAGTATATTTGCGTCAGATGTAAGAATTAGGTTACTGATGTGTAAAAAGAATACTGATTCTCTATGATTGTGTTTCATTTAATATCCTAAATTGCTACAAATGTCATTTAGTAATTAGTCCTCGTGCGTGGAGATTTTGCCCTCGCAGGACCACATTCTGCAACAACAAGCTGAAAATAAAAAATATTGCCCGCTGATATAAAATGTCCTTTGTCCGCGAATACCGTTACATCTGTAATGTTTTGCAAAATGTTATATAGTAAGCTATCATGCATAATTTTCATGGGATGAAACCCTGACATGTCGGAGAAGAAAGGATTGTTAGTAATGGAGGTTTTTTTCACTAGTGCTCCGCCTGCGCTAACGGGATACGCTGGCGGAGCACTAGTGAAGGGTGATAGATGAGGATGAAGTACGTTAGTTAGCCACGTACGTCGTACGTACGTACGTGGTTTTCAGGGAGAACCACGTGGTGGTCGACCTAATAGGGCATATTGCTAACAATGGGGCCGTCAAACTCCATTGCTAACAACCCCTTTCCCTGCCTAGTAATGGAGGTTAGCAATATGCCCTATTAGGTCGGCCTCCACCCGATTCCCCCTAGAAATTCATCCATCATAATTGTGTTACTGTTGAATGCAGCACGATAGGTCGATTGAACTGTTTCATCGTAATTTATCATCCCTGGCTGTTACCCCGTCAATGTATACCGATATCGCAGGCAGAGGCGTAAAAAAAGACCCAGACCCGTCGCGCGTTCCAATGAAGTTGCGGCTAAAAATTTTCCTATTGTATTATTATAATAAAATAAGTAACTGGTGGTATTTTATTATATGCCAACGTGATTCGATTTTTATTTAATTTTATTGAGTAGATATATTTTTAAAAAAGACTACTACAAGTAATAAAGTGATTGCTGTAATTTCCTACATAGACTAAGAATAGTAACTGCTCTGTGTACGGGCCTTAGTGTCTGTTCACACAGATTGGCGCTGAGAGGAAAGCAAATATTAATCGTTTAAATTAGAATATTAAATAATTAAATTATAAATATGGGTTATTTTAATACTTTACTTCTTTTATTATACATCAATGCTCCGAAGCTGACTTAATGTACTTAGTATAATATAATGAGAGCGAGAGAGATTGCGTATATTAATGTACTGTCTAGACCAGTGATTCTCAACCTTTTTTTTTTGTTGCGGCACATATTTAACAATTTCCAAATTTGGCGGCACACAAAGGAAAAGATAAAAAATATTTACTTACTACAACACACTGCATAAATAGTTTATGACAAAAATTTTAAATATATGCAAAATTTGGCGGCACACTTTTAAAATTTGGAGCACACAAAAGTGCCGCGGCACAGTGGTTGAGAATCACTGGTCTAGACCAACGAACGGCACTATCGTGCTGGCAACCACACAGTTACAATAGATACAGTTAAAAGTAAAATAGAAAATAAGTACATTAAAATTAATATTTTGCTAAATACCTCGAACAGGGTACGGTACGGCATCTACATTCCCTTTGATCATATTATAGATATGATAATACTGTACTCTTCCAGTTGGTCTAGGTCAGCCTTTTTCAAAATGGGCGATAAGGTCCCTTGTGGGCACTGCAGGCCTAAAGGGTGACGGTAAGAGATCTCGAAAAAAAATGGGGGTGTCGTGTAGAGGTTTGGGGCGTGATTTGTTGATGTTGAAGTAATAGTGGTTTTTAAGTAGGTGAATAAATGGGGGCGGTAAAAAAATATTTATTCTCAGAGTGGGCAGTAGACAAAATAAGTTTGGGAACCTCTGGTCTAGGTGAAACGACTTGGTCGAATTGAAGTGCTTTTGGCCGATTCAGAGTGTATAATCTGAGATGATCTATGTGAAATGAAAAAGCCGGTCTCTGTGAACAGATATTTATGATGTGGCTACGACTATCCATACGACAGTTATGAAAGTCGAGTTGGCAACACTGATTTGGTTATCCTGTCAAAATAAATACTCTTCCATCTCTTTCGGAAAAATGAACTCTACGGAAGATCTCGCTCTCTCGTAAACAAACTTGTAGTTGATAGAAAAGGAAAATATCTTTCGAACAAAAGTATACGGTTCCACAAATTTCATTATTATTTACGTTATGTAGGAAGTCAAATTTTGTTCGTGTGCCTAGTCGATTTGTTTTTCTATCTTTATTTATGTATAGTTAAATTAAAGCAAGTTTAGTAATCATTACTATTTTTTTCGTAATTTGTATTAATTTATTATTTATATGTAAAACAGCTATCAATCATTCTAGTTGTAGAAATGTAGTAAAGAATCATTGAATCGGTGATTGAGTATATTTCGATCGCCATTACATCTATTCTGCAAGGTGATACAAGCGTTATTAAATTAACGGTGCAAAGGTTTATCCGTGTCAGTGTGTATCCCACTAAGAATTCTTTTTTGAAGGTTTGTTTAATATTTATTTGTAAAAAGAACTTATTTTTCTTTCAATTTTGGCGGGAGAGCTGGCACGTTGCGTTACCGTCGTAGAATAGTGATCTGTCACCTGTCTGTCGCCCCCTGGCCTCGTCGACATCGTTATAGGTTTATGTTTTAACAGTTCTCACCTGTAAAATTAGCAGTGCAATAGTGAAATTCTTGGTGCGCGATCGATGTGGACGTATGACGATGCGTCACGAATAGGCGCATCGGACATGGATAGCAGAAGAGCTTGCCCGAGTTACGAAGCCGGGTTCGACGTGTGTGATCCTCTGGGATCAGTCCTGGAGTGGTCAGGGCGGGGACCAGCTCGAGTACTAAGGCGGCGGTGCCGCAGTGAGGGTGTCGACCGCTCTCCATACGAGGATGCAAGTCGCGATTCACATCGTTCCGCGGACGGCATACCTCGATATAAGGCTCTCCCAAATAAGAGCCACTTCACTTTAAATAATTTGACAGAAATCCATTTTGAGCGCTTAACACACGAGTGCACCCTCCCTGCTGCTGAGAACGGCGACTTCATCATGGCCCATGAACAAAACAAGCATAATGGGTAAGTGTAATTCAATAACATAACCTACAAATGTGTCCATATGGACTGGACTATCTTCAACAGACTGTTGAACAGTAAAGATAGAAAATGATTAATACAAATATTATTTCCATAGAAACACTTTATTTGTTGTATGCAAATTATGTATTTTTTATTATTATTAATTATATAGTAGATGCTAAGGAGTAGGTAGGTATAATTGAGAGAACAAAATTTTGCATTTATAGACTATAATGTTATTTTTCTGAGACATATAAATCAAATATGGCTATTTATATTTTATTGTGCTCAACTTTTAAAGATAATTTTTGAGAATATCTTTTTAGTACCTGTGTGCCATGTCACATTTTTAAATTGATTGTTATTTACAGATAGATTTAAAGAAAGATATCAATGTTTGCCTCTATCGGTAATTAAATTGTTATCTGTAAATTCCTAAATGAATTTATTTATTGGACTAATACTCATTTTGTTGGTAAGACTTGAAATTATGTTAGTATAACTTTTTTATTATTACTGTGATATTTCTCAACATTTCTGCATCATACTGGTCAATATGTTGCAACAATTATTCAAATATATTAAATATACCTACCTACATTCTACCTTCAAAATTTCTATAATTCTGTTAAATTTAGTAAAATCTGCATATTGCTATTATATTGCTTTTAATGAAGTATATCTTAACATAGGTACCAACCAGGAAGATCAAAATTTAGAACAAGTCCCACTAGACCCTTACTTGTAACCACATTATCAAATACAAAGTTAGATGACAGCCGTCTGCCCAAAGTTGAAGAACTGTTAGAAAAAGTGGATCAAGAGATGATGGAGGTCCAAGTTACGAAACAACCACTGAAATCAATTCTTAATAACCCTTTACCCAAGTCGCCTCCTCAGGGTATACTAAAAAAACCTAAAACTAGGTTATGTCAAGACTCCAAGATTAGTTTAGAAGGTCGGCGGAGACAGAGGGCTTCAAGTGAGTCAGATAATCTTTACTGCAGCTTTCATGTTGGATCACCCATACCAGGATATGACAGGTTGGTTATAGGTTATACTCACATGTTCTAAAATAGTATCTAATCAAAACAATTGATAATTATTTCATTTGAAACTACCTATTGGTAGTTCTTAGAATGCAAACGATTGGTCTATATTCAATGTATTTGATACCACTATCATAAGTAGGTATTACATTGTCTATTAATCTTTGTTTTTCATATAATAAAATCAAGATGGTTTAGTAGGCCATTGTGTTGAAAAATCTGGAAAAAGTGTTAATTGAAAAATAAATATATCAGTTTACATATATATTAAACTAATTGCTTAGTGATCTTTATGAATTCATTGTTTGTTTATTTGTACAATAATTGTAAATGTGAAGCAAATGTTTAATTATGACATGTAATTATTTTACTTGTTTATGATAGTAGTATACAGTAATGTAGACTGTGATACTTTGGATTGAAATTTTGTTATCATAGAAATTATTTCTGAATAGAATTAATACCACTAATTTAAAATTTATAATAAAAAAAAAAATTAAATAATCAATTATTTGATTTTTCTACTATCGGACATCAGGGGACTGTCTTATGGTTGTATGAATTATTCATTTGCTTAAATTGTCAATGAATTGTATTGAAACAGATCATAATTATTAGTACTGAGTTTAAGTTTTACTATGGCTTTTTTTTCCTACATGCCATAACTAACAGATAAAACACATTACATATAAGTCCATGCTTACCTTATGAATTCATTACAACAACAGTAGCTAGTCATCATTTGTTTTATTTTATTTAAGTATTTATCTAATTCAATATGATTTGAAATATGATGAAGAAAAATAGAATTATATATATATACTTTTATTCTTATGTATGTATATTATAATTATCATTTTATGTTATTTATATTATTATTGTATACAAGGATAACAAAATTTAGTTAAAATACTAAATAGTCACACACAGTCACAGTCTAAACAGTTCCTTGTGAGTAGTAAATAAAGATTATTATTATTATTATTATTATTGTGTAAGGGTACACATTATTAACTGTTGTTTACCTATCCCAATATAAAGTACCATGTTCATGATTCACTGTTCATACCAAAAGTTGACTCATAGAGAATGCTACTAGCATTAAGTCTGCCTTTTGTACCATAATTTCTTTTGGTCAATAAAGTTATTTAAATACTTCTTTGAGGTCCACTCCTATCTTGAGGGAGAGAGATAAGGAAGTTGGATGACATAAGGGCAATTTTTTTTAAATAAAATAAATATATTAATATCTTTTATGGTATATAACCATTGTATTCTTTTTCAGTCGGCTGTCATATCTTTCTAATAACATGAAGCGTGTGAAAGATAATTCTGGAACAGGTTACTCATATGGTACTGCTATTGCCACACTTAGTACCACACCTGTGTCAAAAAGCCCACTAAATTATGGCAAAGGCATGAGGTGTACCTGTAAAGATCAAGTTGTCATATCTGCTAAAGATGATGTCCACAATATGCATATTTTGAGAACTACAGCGATAAACAGTGACACAGTTGGTGATATTCCTATTATGGAAATGGTAAGTTTTTGATACATTTATTCTTTTTAACCTCCAATGCAAAAAAGTTTGTATTCAAAGTTTAATGAGTCTGTGTTTGTCTGTGGCATTGTAGCTCCTAAATGTATGTTCCAATTATAATGCGCTTTTTCATTTGAAAGCTAACTTTATTGAGATGGTTCTTAGCTACAATTTAGAAAAATCTATTCAGGTGTTTCAGGGGTTACTTAAAATTTTTAATTTTATTCATCCTTGAATTTACTTAAATAGTTATGCTTTGGGTTAATTAAAATATGTATGATACCTAAATACGCTTTTGTCTATATTTTTCAAGTCATAATTTCTTTCATCTGAATATTAATATTATATGTCAAATTAGTATGAGAATATTTTTTTTTATAATATTTAGAATGGCAAACAAACTGATGGCTCACTTGATGGAAAGTGGTAATTGTTTTGTCGTTTATAGAAAGAATATTACAAATTCTTCATCTTTTGAATAAAAGAAATGCATTGATTTTTAAATTGCTAGTATTAATTAGAACGAAGTCAAGGTAGTTGGCCTACTGTGATGTATTTGTTAAGAATTAACGACGATGGTTATTAGGGGCGAAGTATGGGTGGGTGTATTGTTACATTTACCACAAACGTAATAGCAGATGCAATAATGACTAGATTATTAATTCTTATGGCAGAAGTAAAAAGCTTTAGACTACCCACAATTATAGTACTATAGAAATTATATGATGATCTTAAGTTATCTAATGCATAAACATGTCTCGTTGTATAAATGTAGGATAAGTTATTAAACTATGGAAAATATGTCTTTAATCTGCGACAGTATCACAGATTATGTCAACCAAGTAAACTTTACATTTTCATAATGTTAGTATTAGATAAAAATAGACCGTGATAAAGGTCTCTTCCCACTTCATTTGTGATGCTATAATGTCAGATATTACTCATCTCGGTGCCCCACTGAGCTGTTATCGTGTTACTAATGCTTTCGTAACATATTGATATGCGAATTAAAGTTTTTATATATACATACATACCTATCACGATTGTCTTCCTAATGGGGTAGGTAGAAACAATGAAATTCCAGTTTTTTTAATGCCGTGTTATCCTATTGAATGTGTATATAGTATCATATCAAAACCAATCGTTAATTTAAACTAGTAAATTAGGAATTAATTTATATATTGCATTTTCAATAATAACAAGTTAAATCTTTTACACTTCTTAATTTTACTTTATTCTTCTTGTATTAGTTTAAGATTGGCGGCGTGGTGGGCCGGGTCGTATGGCTCCCTATAATATGGTTGAATATATCGATGGCTAGTTCATCCGTCATACTCGTGAATGGATGCTTCTAATAGGGACTGGTCTGTTCAAGAATATTGTGATTGTTTGTAGCTTTGTAATATTTACTTTTTTTCTTTTTTTTATCAATATGAAGATTGTGATTTTGAAGAGTTCTTCTCCGCTGAAATTGCATTCCGAACTGGGCGGTAGACTTGCAAAAAAATGACTGTTGAAAAATTCCTATAATTAAGTTTACTTGAATAAAAACTTATTTATTGCTATTATTAATTATCTAGTAAGATAAATTTTCGTTTTCAATTTATAATTTTAATATTATTTTATGTATTTGGTAGTGTAATATGCCGCTAATTAAACCTCTCTCTGGTATATTTACTATAATAACAATCGTAGTTCCCATTCTATTGTTTTTATAATCTCACCCGCAGTTAAGTGTATGGAGGCCCTAATTGACTTATATACACAAGTTAGGGCTATCGTAAACATGGTGGTGTATTGTGAATAAGTAGGTTACAGCTACAGTCATGGAAAGATATTTTATCATATTAACAGTGTGTGCTGAAGAGGTCGGTGCGCTGTCCGCGTTACCCCACTCCCTAGATTTTCGTACTACTATAATTGTTTCGCGATTTGTATTTGCGTGCTGCCTACATATATGAACAGCTGCAAATATAGTATTGTCTGCGGAGGCATATGTTTCATTTAAAAAAAAAACATCGCAAAATCATCGATCTCGAACGCGTTCTTATTTGGACTGCCCACTTGTACCGTTTATTGTCCACAAATATTTGAATTGTTTATATAATTTGTGTGAACCGCATCATCGGCGGCTTTGAGGCGTCTGAGCACATCGACGTAGAATTTTCCATTGGATATTTTGATGGACAATCCCCCGAGAAGTCAACATTGACATTTGACAGTTCGTGGTTCCCCGGATGTTTTTATGGCACGATTGCCGAGACTTATTTCATCTCTTGTGACGTAGCAATACCTAGTTTTGTGGTGTAGTGCGAGAGGTGGCCATGAATTAAGATACGTGCTCGTAAACTTTGATGTATTTAATTATCGACATGCGGAAACTGAAAAGAATTTTGAGGAGTATATGTAAGAGTGTGAGTGAGGTTTGAAATATTTTTGCATAAAAAAATATTCTAGTTTTTCTGAAAAGTACATTTATATTTATTTTTAAGCGAGTTCCAAAAGGAGGAGTTTCTCAATTTGCCAGTATTTATTTGTGTATTTTACTGATATCTTTGAGAGTGCTGAATCGATTTTGATCATTCTATTTGTAGTCAATAGGATTTACCATCGTTTTGGTCCTGTATTAATATTTTTAGTCTACGTTGCTTTTGCTAGTTACCTTAGTGAGTCTTTAATAAATTTTTATATATTTTTTTGCAGTTAATATTATGATTCACTCGTCCTTTGATCCCGTATCGTGAATTAATTTTATTACGATTGGAGTACCTATCAGTTATGCGGGTTAACATTTATCTATTTAAATAACATTTTATTAATAGTATGAAAACATACGCCGGGTTTAAGATCGGTAGACGGTCAGTCATCAGGATCCATCACCAAGATATGCAAAACAGTTCAGTATCTTTTGTATATCCAATTAATGGGCATGATATGATAGTTTTTTTTTACAACACAGGGGGCAAACAAGCATGTGACTTACCTGATGGTAAGTGACTACCGCCGCCCATGATCACCTACAACACCAACGGCATTGCAAGTATGCTGCCGGCCTTTTAGATATACCTATATCACCACGTGGTGCAATATCATGTCTCACAATCCTAGTCATATATTCCATGGTCATATTCCTAGTCATGTATTGCACCTAGCAACTAAATGGAATGTTCAGTTACCGTGTGGGCGTCATAATTGTAACTGGTTGCATCTCGATTAAATTCATCTTATTGTCTGGTTAATTCGGTACTCTTTAGATTTTATTGCGGCTTCAATTCACGCGACCGGGCATTATGCCAAATTGTACAAAATGTCAATACGAATGTATTATCACTGTTTCTACCGCACTGATTCGATACACTATCGATTATTGTATATCATGGAATATCGATTAAAATTTCATTAAATACTCTCTATACATACTGAAAGTTGGTTTTACTTGTGAAAATTCGATAGTATAAAACAACACAATTTCACCGTAGCGTTCCAGTGAACAGAGTTGACCTTTGTAATAGTGGCCTTGACATGTTTTGTGCGGTTATATTTGAAAACACTTAGTCCGCCACACGTGCGTGAAGTTAAAGAAAGTGCAGTTACCATGTGTTTTAAGAATATAGTTCGGTGCTTGCCAAAACTGTGAAATAGTTCCAGTGCATTGGTAATACGCTGAATTCTTACATCCAGCACGCTTGTCCTCAATCCGACAATAAACACAGTTTGCAGTCTTAATTGTACAATGTTACAGTTATTTTGTATAATACTTGCTGTATCCTGCGGCTTCGCCCGTGCTCGTATCGTATCGAGTAGTCTATAACCTTGCTTAAGAAATGAGTTCTCAAATGTAAAAATAATTTAACAACCCCAACCGCATTTGTAAAATTATTTTTAGTAGTAGTTAATTAAATAAATTTTTTAGTATATTTCCATAGATTAACATGTTAAAAAAAATATCAAGCAGTTCCTAAATCACTTGATATTAATATTCTGTGCTTAATTAAAAATGTGATCAATAAATAAAGGATCAATAAATATGGTATATATCTATACTTATAATAAATCTGTAGAGAGGTCAATTCTGTACATGAAATATATTTCCAAAATAACTATCAGGGGGTGATTAGTGATCGATACTGATGCCAAAAATGCAATCAGTAAAATTTTTGTCTGTCTGTCTGTCTCTGTATGTTCCTTATAGAAACAAAAACTACTCGACAGATTTTAACGAAACTTGGTACATTTATTCTTCATACTCCTGGGTAGGTTATAGTATACTTTTCATCACGCTACGATCAATAGGAGCAGAGCAGTGAAGGGAAATGTTAAAAATTTCCACCCGTGCGACGCCGGGACGGGCCGCTAGTTATTCATATAAAAGTCAAAATTTCCTTAAACTGATTTTAGCTATTGAAGAGGTTTGTCTTCTTTTGCGCTAAATTTTCAATTTGTAAGAGAGTGACAAAACTATAGTTTAAATTGGTTTGTAGTGGCTTTAGTTTTTTATAAATAGGGAAATTATTGTTTACCTGTCTTATTCATTAAGATCAGTTATTTACATTTGTAATTTATCGCAATATACTTGTAAGGCCTTCGTCGAAACCAGTTATAGACTAATGATAACATAACATTAACATATAGTACTAATTTTAATATTAATTTATTGTACTATATTGCCTATTTAAAAGTCAAAAAACCTATAACTCGAGATACCATGTCATTTTGTTGATTTTTAAAATTGGACCTTTATTTCAATAGCATTAAGTTGAATTTCGCCTGCTTTGCGTGTATTGTTTAAGTAGGTACATAAAAACGAAATATCACTTTCTGTATAATAATAACCAAATGTTCGAAACTACATATTTAAACTACAAATATAAAATAATGCATAGACGTTCCTCATATAAAAAAGAATTTCTCGAATAACTATTTGGTTTCGTTTTAAATAAAATCTTGCGTCATGCAATACTAAATTTTCTAGACGCTCGATTATTTATTCTAAATTCCAATATTTTCTATCTCATGTGTCTACGAAATATCTACGATGATCTCCGCAGCACAGCGGTGGGAACGTTGCATTGTGTAAATGAGTTCCTGGGTTTGAATCTCGTTGGGTTCAATGTGGGAATATACTGCTCTGAATTGGCTCGAGTCAGGGTGTTCTGTGTTTTGCGCCCAGATATTAGTTGCTTGGCTTCTCTCATAACAGGGTATTCTAGTTTTAGGATCAGCAGGTCTACTCTTGAATCTAATATTAATTTTAAATCCAATCTATTGCCTATGACAATTTCATACTGCATTCATGAAATAACAGTTAGGTATTGGGTTATATTTGGGATCAATTGACAAGTTACACTAATATGCATCTATCAGATCAATATGGATCCACTATGTCGCTAGTATTGCAATTCGCGAGTACGAAACGTCTCAATTCCGATATCGATTTATTCGAATTTATTTCAAGAGTAACCTCACATGCGATTGGTGCGATTGTGTGGCAATTATTTATTATCTAAAAAAGGCGGGAAAACTTGTAACGCGAGGGCGGAAATTTTAAATTCATTTTATTTGTTTAATATTTGTTGCTTCTCCTAGTTTCTTTTACTTATTTCTCCAATTTAAGCCCTCGTGTGTTGTTAGAGGATATGTGCGAGTCAAGCGGAGGCAAGTTAAAAAGAAGAAAAAAAAATACTTCCATATCTGATGAAGAGCCAGATGCTAAGATGAGTATTAAATTTACTCACTCAAAAAGAGGACTGTTTAAAGATCAAAATTACCTATATTCTGACACTACTAAAAATGAATATTTTATCCTGTTGTCTCCTATTGAGGGCAACAATGTAAACTTATTGCAAGTCAATTCTATTCTGAGGACTGTACCTGGTGTATTCTATATTCGTACTATGGGTTCTACTGCATTCAAAATATGTTTTCGATCAATGAAACAGGCTAACGAATTTTTATTAAATAAAGATTTATTAGAGAAACATAAACTTCAGGCTAGGATACCCAATAATCAGCTGGAATCTCAGGGAGTTATAAGAGCTCCTACTGAAATATCTGAGGAAGATCTCTTAAATAACTTAAAATCTACTGTAGATATCATCGGTGTTAAACGTTTCAAAAAAAAGAAAGAAGATGGAAGTTTTCATCCTCTTCCTACAGTTTTAGTAACTTTCCTCTCTACGCAGCGACCTGATCACGTAACGTATGATCATATTTGGCTGGATGTGCGTGAATTCATTAGACCTCTACTCCAATGCTTCACTTGTTACAAATTTGGTCATGGAAGCAGTTCCTGCAGAAGTAAGCAAGTTTGTTCCATATGTGCCGGTGCCCATGATTATAGATCCTGTATCAACAAAGACAATCCTAAATGTGTTAATTGTAATGGACAACATGTAGCAGTATCTAATAGCTGTCCCACTAAATCGATGAAATTGTCTCAAATCAAAGATAAAATTCTAGGCAAAACATCTTATGCATCAGTGACTTCAAAATCGGTTAACTCTGTAATTAATTCAAATACCCCTGTGTCTATTAACAGCCCAACGCAAAATAAATCTCCTCAAAAAAGGGCATTAGTTATTGACATCATTAACTCAGACATTGTACTCAACACAATTACTAAGACTGTTATTGAGCTAGTTAAGAAAGCTCAAACTAATTCTGATACAATTTCATCTAAATTAATTAAGGAAATACTCATATCTAATTTTTCAACATGACCATTACATCTTTAAATGAAATTAATATTGTTCATTGAAACTCAAGACGCTTTCTGTCTAAAATATTTCAATTTAAAAACTTTATTTACAACTTTACATCACATTTTGATATCATTTTACTAAATGAAACTTGGCTTGATTCTAACAAAATCTGTAAATTGTCTGGTTATACTATATTAAGTAGATTGCAGATAGGTCATTGTAAATTTCCTGCACATTTGCAACGTATTAATTTATTGGATAATTCTATCTGTAAATACTGCCAAAACATTTTTTCTAATTTGGATCATATTTTTTTTTTGTTTGTCCTAAATTCTTACTTCAACGGTTACTTTTTATTTGTCAATGTCAAGATTTAATAAAATGTCAAAATATTCCTACTTCAGTGCAGGATCTACTAAAACATACCATTTTGTACCAAGAAATTTTTCATCAATTGGTGAAATTTAAATATGTAATTGTAACTTATACTTTTCTACTTAACTTACTTTCTTAGTATATTATAATTAATTTATAACTATAATAATTTTTGTAATTTGTCTTGTAATTTTATATTGTTACCTTGTAATTGTTACTTTTTGGCTGATGGCTTTCGCCAAAGTCACAATAAATGAAAAAAAAAAAATATTTATTATCTTGATGATCATTGGTGCGTTTTGTAAGGATTTTAGTTCTTTTTTTCCGGCGTTAAATGCACTTGTGAAACGAAGGATGTTCTTAAAAATAAAAAAGTAAAATAAAAATATTTAAGTAAATTTAATTCTCAGCATTTTTGAGTAGTAATTTTTTTATGACTCTACCGGACAATACGAACGTACAAAAAATTTTGCTGTTGTTATTTTCAAATAAAACTTGAGATTATAATTAAAAGTGAATTGATAAAATTATCACAAATTTTATATTGATAAGAAATTACAATCAAGTACAGTATTCTTGAACAGACCAGTTCCTACTAGGAGCAACCGTTCACGAGTGTGACGGATAAGTCAGCCATCGTTGTGGTCAACCATAATATAGGGGGTCCAACGATGCCGTCCACCACGCCGCTACCAGTTTGGATATTATAGTGCATATGACTTGTTTCAAGATACGCGATTACATCAAAATCGATACCAAATTGTATTTTTTTTATACAACTTAGAATGGCAAACAAGCTGACGGCCCACCTGATGGAAAGTGGTAACCGTCGCCTATAGACATGAGCAGTACCATGGAAATAACAGAGTATACTGTTTCGCCCATGACACCCCCCCCCATGCGTTGCCATTCCTGAGGACTCAGGTGTTATTCCTCTGTACCCAGTAAATTCACGCCATATCCCACCCTTCAAACCGAAACAGAGCCATGCAAACACAACTGCTTCACGGTTGAAACACGAATGGGATTCATGCATTGTATGTGACAATCACAATATTTTCTCATTATAGAATTAATATGTCATTTATATTTATATAATCTCTTATGTGTACAGCCTCGTCAAGACACCCCGACGCCGACCTGCCCAGCGGTGAGTCCAGCGTTACCTGTTAGTTCCGTGACCGCAATACCTCAACCCAAGAAGTCGGTGAAGACAGTCAAAAAGAAAATCAAGCCCAAAGTTAAAGTAGGCAAGATGAAATCTAGCAGTAAGATTGAGTGCAGCGTCGTGGAAGAGGCTGACGAGTGAGTATATATTTTTGTTTATAAATCATTCTTATTTTTATTTATATATTTTTTTATTCACCGAAGCCACAAATGTATGTTATTTTTTTTTATATATAAATAAATAGTTTTCACTCGCGACTTCGTCCGTGGGACCAGAGGGCCTACCATGAAATATTTTCCGAAATTTTGAGGACGAACGAAACAGAAATTTGATGTTAAAATTACATAATACATGCCGTTTAAAATTTAAAAAAGGTTAAAATATCGTTCCTCTGGACTATTAGGATAGGATTTATGATAAACGAAATGTTAAACTCCTTTTATTGGTCCAATTTTGGTATAAACAAAAACACGAAATTGAACCCGAAATTTTTAGAATTTCATTTCATGGTGACCACCCAGGATATGTTTATAGACCGGGATAAAAAGTACACTATATCTTTCACCATCCCATATAGTATGTACCAAATTTCATAATGATTGGTTAAATCGTTAAGGCGCTATAAAGTAACAAACAAACTCACTTTTACATTTATAATATAAGTAAGGTAATTTAAGTAAGGTAAAGTAAAAATCCTTACTATAAATATAGTAAGGATTTTTACTTATATTAGGCTCACTATAATATTATAAATGTGAAGTATTAAAAAGATGTTTGAACGTTTGTAACTCAATAAGAATTGAACGGATTTGAATGGAATTTGGTACATGGATAAGTTATATTCTAATTTAACATATTGGATACTTTGTATACTGAATTATGCAGCCAAAGTCGCGGTAAATAGCTAGTGTTTAATATCTTTATAATAATGAAACTTGAAATTTCTTGATATTATTTCCTTATCTTATTTATTATTTTTATGTTATCACTGAACCAGTTAAGATTTTTTTATTTTTTCAGTGCACATAGTAGATCGCCATCGCCCGATACTATGGACGCGTGGCCCATGGAAACGGATGCTGTGTTATCCGATTTTGAAAAACCGGATAGAGCATCTCCTATACCTAGGAGGGAAGAGTTAAATGAACATAATTCCGTTACTAAACTATCGAACAAATTGAACGGGACTGTTATTCTTCCTAAAAAGGTTCCGTCGAAAGGTGAGTACTCATGTTTATATTTTAATAAAACAGTGCTTTAATGAAAGTAGTGGGATCACTAATTACAGGACTTTATTTATGTAAATTTTATTGAAAACCTTAGTATGGCATCATACATACGTACATACATATCTGTCACGTCTGTCTCTCGTTACTATGATATCAACAGGCTGTAAATAGTTTTGATTAAAAAGGCCAATCAAAATCGGTTCAATAAGTGCGACTATATCCTACGGGATATCCGTGCGTTACTACGGTATACGCATAAAAAACCACACTGTCAAATTAATTGACTACTTATACTTGAAGTTTTCTAAAAAATACTTTTTATAAAGTACATAATATTTTTGTACGTGTTAAAACCAATAATGTTAAACCAAAACGTTGTTTAATATGGATAAAATCATTTTACGCCGATTAATAGGGATAAGGGCAGGAAGAAGACGCTGATGATGATGATAGTTTTTGTATGTGAAAATTATTATTAATATTTATGTAAAAAATACAAGTTTATATTAGCATAAACAACAATTTTATATATTGTTTACAGACAAGATGAACAAGGAACAGTTGTTCATTACAACATTACACACAACAAATCCTTTCAAATCGCTACCGACACGCAAAGGTTACGAAGTAGAACACTAGCGCAATTTGTCACTTTTAAGTTTATAAAAGTTTAGTTAGTTTACATGCAAAGGAAACACAATCAGGCCTCGTAAATGGGTTGCATGGAAGTTGTGCATTTAAACTTTTCTTGCCAAACAATCTTTATATTAAATTTGTCTGTCTGTCTCTCTATATTTTATATTTATGATCTAACTGCTACCTGTCTAGTGTTGTTTTGTCCCCCTACCACCACCTACCAGGTTATTTTTTTTATATCTCTCAAGTTAAAGCAAACAATATATTATATAAATATTTACAAAATTCCATTAAAATCGGCTGAGAGGTTGCGGAGATTAACGTGTATAAGTATGTTAATCGTCACATGGCATTTTTATATATTCAAGATTCTTTTACATCGTTAAAGATACATTTTAATTGTAGCTGATTCAATTAAGGACAGCTACAAATTGTATAATCTAATATTTTCCATTGATTTAATATTAAACATAAAGGGAATATAAATGATTTATTAAGACTAATTTTTCGTGAATATCGTAATATGAAGTAATTATTTTTGATTGTATATTTTCTTTATTGTTATATTTATATTATGTTGTACAATTAATAGCAAAAATGAAATTTGTATTTGGAAGTTACTTAAAAATAATTTGTTTGCATTTATCATTCATAGAATAGTATACATGTACGCATATGAGCCAAATTCGATGTAATAATTAATTAAATAACATAATAATGGTATGCAATCAATCAGCGAATGCCATCTCTTGTTAACAAGTCGTACTGAAATATTTTTTAATATTACATTTATTAATATTTTAAGTTCATCGAATTTGGCATAAGTATAGTAGACATCGCCTGGTTTCCATCATTATTGCGACTTATTTATAGCGTGTCGTTGGTTTTATGTTTCCTGCCAGTTGATATTGAAATTAGAGTATTTTTAGAAGATATTTAGGGTTAACATAAATCTTTTTAGAATTATCTCTGTGTATTAGTTCTAAGACATCATCGTTTTTTATGAGCCTCAAACTGTATTCCTAACTCAATCTATTACATTATTTTTAATTATTCTCTTATCATAACGAAAACGTGTTCTTATTCATGCTAGAACATTTTTTTTTATTAGATTTTACACATAAATATCTTCTTAATCAGTTCAATTAGGAATACGTGCTTTGGGCTAGGTAACTGACAAATTAAATAAAAAGGAAAGAATATTCACAACGTATTTAATTGTTTACAGAATCTCCCCTTAACCTGCCAGAGTCAATATCGAATTGTTTAAGGCCGTCCCTCTTCCCTCGAGTGCCCCCATACCTCAGGTTCGTGGGGCACGAGGACACACAACCCCTTAAGATCCCTATGGCGATCCAGAAGCATCTTAAATGGAAATTAACCACAATAACTCCTATAGTTGTTAAGAAGACATTAACTAATTCAGGGTTTAGATTGGTCAAGAGTGAGTGTGACACAGCAGAATGTCCTCAGGAAGGTGAGTATAAAGACTTGTTTTGAGAGTTCGTTGTATATTTAATGGTTTTATTTATGACAATGATTGGAAGTCTATGGCATATGGGTTAATGCGGAGAAAATTGGTATTGGCCGCAAACTGACTTTAATTTAGCCTACTTAAATAAAGTTTATTTTAAATTTAATTGATTAAATGGACTGCTTTTAATTAATGTAAAACTAAATCGTACTTTTTACATGGAATTAGTAATTAATTCTAAAGATATCCTACGGAATTGTTGGATCTGTTCTAAATTTTGATGCCACAATGATGTACTTGTTTAAAGTCAGTTTATAAGGTGACAGTAGTAGATCAACATTGGCTAGTCTTGTGTTTAGAGCCATTATATGGCCCAAATTATTTTCAAAATGTGTTTGTAAACCTTCATCTGGTATATATTGTTATTAATTATAATCTGTACCATTTTCTGAAGGGAACAATAAAGAGTTTTATTTCATTTAAAGTAATGAAAAAATAATGATGAAAATTACAGAAACAGTAGAATGGATCGGTATATGGGGAAAACATATGAAGTCATTGATGTTCAGAGCAATAAAAGACGGCCAGAAGATGAACCATTTTCCCGGCACATTCCAAATAGGCAGAAAGGACCGATTATGGCGGAACCTGCAAAAACTAGCCGCTAAGTACGGAGTGAACGAGTTTGGTATTATGCCTAAGACTTACGTCTTGCCACACGATCTGAAGTTGTTGAAACACGATTGGGAGAAACATGCCGCCAATAACGAAAAATGGATTATTAAGCCGGTAAGTGTGTGGTGGCAATTTTAAATTTAATTTTTGTTTACTAGAATTAGTTTATTAAAACTATGAAAAGATTGATGAATGTGGAAGAAGCGAAAGAGGTTTGTTTGAATCGAAGCGAATGAATCGTTCCATTGTTTCTGCTACCCTAAAGGGAGACAGGCGTGACAGATATGTATCTATGTATGTATGATAAAGTGGAAGAAATTAAAACGATTCTGTTGCAAAACTTGATAAAGTCACGCCTGTCTCCCATTACGGTGTAGGCAGAAACAATGGCACTCCAAATGCTTCGATTCAAACAAATCTCTTTCGCTTCTTTCACATTCATCAATCTTTTCATACACGCCCGCCGGTTACGGGTACTTTTAACTTTGCTCTTCTTTAGCATGTCATCTCTTTGGTCGACATTATTGTTTTTATTATATTATGGATAGTAAACAATTATAAATAAAGTCTATAGTTTAGAAAAATAAAAATTGGGTTACTTTTTACATTTGTCAACCGACTTCAAAAACAAGGAGGCTCTCAATTCGATTGTATTTTTTTATATTTGTTACCTCATTACTGTGTCAGTTGTGAACCTATTTGGAAAATTATTTTTTATCTGTAAGGATTTTATCTGTAGTTACAGATTGCTCCAATAATTTTTTTTATCAAAATCAACCGATTGTTTAGCAGTAGTTTAGTTTTTAAATTATAATAACTGGTTTAGCCACAAATGAAGTTGTTTTTATTTTTGTGGTACAATCTTAATTATTTTTTTTAATATTAACTCGAAGTACACACTAATATTTCTTTTAAATTATGTTTATAAAATGACTTCAATTTGCAGCCCGCATCAGCGCGAGGTACAGGCATCAAAGTAGTATCCCGTTGGACGCAAATACCTAAGAAGCGTCCAGTAGTTGTTCAGAGGTATGTGTCGAAGCCGTACCTCATCAATGGGAATAAATTCGACATGCGCCTCTACGTGCTCGTCACGTCCGTGCACCCGCTCAGGATATATTTGTATAAGGATGGACTCGCCAGATTTGCTTCAGGTAACTTTTTTTTTAATAATGAAAACGAAAAGTTAATTCTACTTGCGTTACGGGTATATATATGCTGGTGGGCCACTAGAGCCACAATAGATGATAATGAAGTCACAAGGAATTAGCTATTTTGATTCCCAGGGAGGATCTTGAGGACAAGTGCATTCATTCTTAGATCACGATTTTGGTGATTTGTCACATTAAGAGAATGGTCGTAGATTTTATCCTCGTATAGGGTTGGAGAGTATTCATGGTCTAAACATCATTCAGATCCTGGATTCATATGTAAAAAAACAAAAAATCAAAATTTTAACTTCTGTAATTAGTAATAATGTAGAACACCACAAATATTTTTAAACGATTTCTAGAACAAGGGCATTCTTAATTTATCTGATTTTTTTTGGAAACTACCTTTTCCTAAAAATCAGATAAACTTAGCTATTTCAAGTAATTTGAGTTTATAAAACTCAAAAATAAAATATAAAAATGGCATTTACCAAATTATTCTTTTTAGTGAAATACAATGACGAGTTGACTTCGTTAAACGATCGGTACATGCATTTGACGAACTACTCCATCAATAGACTATCCAAAAACTACACACCAAACGAAGATTTCGCAGCTTGCGAGGGACACAAGTGGTAAATTTTATTGTATTTTATGTAATAATGTCAATTTGAAAAATGCTACTACTTTATGCGACTTATTAGTATTTTTACTATAACTGAATATAAAAATACTGTTAAGTTGCAGCCTTTAATTAGTTTTTCTTACAACATTATTAGCATGAATCGAGTTTTACACTAATTTCTTCCTTTTTTTTGTTTAATAACTAGAATATTCTGAATTTTTCAATTATTAAAACTTATTAATTATTATTAATATACAAAATTTTTAATTCCATTTTTAAGTTTACTAGCTGTTCAGGTTATACTATTTTGTACCCTACCACCACTTACCAGGTCCTATTATTTTATATCGAGAAGATATTTTTCTACCTTCAGGTTTGGAGTAACTTACTTATAAGAGTATAATTAGAAAATTTAAAAAAAATGGATCAAGTGCTTTCGGAGAGTAATTTGAAGGAACATCGTGAACTGAATGTTTATATATTATAATTAATAAATGTTTAATAAACGTTATATAAATGTTTCCAGGACACTACAGACCTTGTTCCACTATCTAAAGACTGAAAAAAATGTTGACACTGATGCACTGTGGGACTCGTTGAAGGATCTGGTTATCAAAACGATAATATCGGGCGAGGCGAGTATTAGCTCGCTGACTAAAGCCAACATCACGTCCAGGTACAACTGTTACGAGTTGTTTGGCATCGATGTGCTGCTGGACGAAGATCTCAAGCCGTGGTTGTTGGAGGTAAGAATACAAAGGATGCCTGAAAGAGATCGCTTTTAGTGATAAGGCCGCCCATTGTTTTTTCAATATATTCATTTCTTGTAATTGTTTGTATTTATAATAAGTTTATTATAATATTTTGGAGGAAACAAGCATATCTATTTATCTATTAAGATTAACAGTCAAGTTACTTTCATCAACATTGGTGAAGTAGCGATTTCATCATCATCATCATATCAGCGTTTAACTGTCTACTGTTGAACATAACGCCTCCCCTTTGAGGTGTTTTACCAGTAGTTGCCACACTTGGCAGGCGCATTGGCAACCACAGTCAAGGTTTAGATATGTTTTAAGGACGCTGGTGCCCAACCCTCGCCCTCCCTTAGTCCATTCTTACGACACTCATGGGAAAGGAAGGAGTGGCTTATTCTATGCCGGGACCACACGGCCAATGCTAATCTTGATAGATAAATCGATAGAAACAATCGTATCTACCTATATATCAAGATTAACAGTCAAGTTACTTTCATTCATGCCGGCAAAGTAGCGATTTACAGCTAGTATTTTCCTATTATGTTAAATGCGAAACGTTTGTAAGGATAATTGGATGTTTGTTACTCTTTCACACAAAAACTACTAAACAGATTTAATAAAATTAGATACACAGATTATTTAATATACTGAGTCAACTGGCTGAAGTCGTAGGATATACCTTGTAGTAAAAGTGTTTCTTTTTTTGTTACCTCTTAGTGCTGTAACAGCTTAACCAATTGTTACGAAATATGATATTCTAATACCATGGAGATGGACAAAGACAGACCACTGTTTATTCTGATCAATCAACATATCCCACGGATCAAGTCACGGGTAAATATTAGTATATTATAAAGCCTATATAAACCCCAAGACACAGTTATTATAGCATATATTGAGTGGGAGTCCCATTTGGTATTCACTAAAGTATGTGTAATGTGAAATGGTTAAATGGTTTTTCTATCTATTTTAAATTAAATGTATCCACACTAGTTATTATAAGTATGATATGTGAATCAGGTAAACATCTCGCCGAGTCTGCACAGCGCGTCCCCGCTGGACATCCACGTGAAGGGTCCTCTCGTGTGTACCGTCCTCAACATCGCACAGTTCCAGGTCCCGCTCAAGACCAACCTCGAAATGCTCTCTAAGGATAAACCTAACAAATTGGTTAGATTGCTAATTTAAATGTTTAATTAATTATTAATAATGTAATTTAAAACATTTCTATGATACACTTCTTAGTTTCCAGTCAGAGACCATTTGCTATTTTTCAATGGGTGATAATGGAATGGTAACCTCGCCTTTGCTGTCGGTAAACGCTGGCGGGGGACCATTTCTTGTTACACTACTGGTGGAATATTCATTAATTGTTTTGGGTAATGAGGTCTTAAGTTCAATCCTTTGTTTGGCAAATTTATTAAACAAAATTTCTTGAATTGGCTCGAGTCTAGATGTTTTGGGTTGTGTCTCCAAATATTTGTTGTCTAAATCCTCGTAACAGGATATCTTGAAGATCAGGCTATTGGTATGATTGTGTATTATTATTCATATGTAATAGAATCTTTATTATAATATATTTTATACTTTTCAGGCTGGATTACCATATGATAGCAGATTATATACCATATATTTATCAAAAGAAGAAAGGGATAAACATATTATTTATACAAATATGGAAGATAGAGATATGGTGAGTTACTAATAATATTTTTTAAATTTGTCAATTTTTTGTATAGAAATCAAATGAATTACTAGACTATGTGGTTTATATAAAAGGTTTAATTTATTGGAACCAAGCATCATATATTATTAAGCTTTTTTATTTTAATTAGTAATATTTTTGTTATAAAAATTCTGTTCCGTCTTTATTTACTTTTTCCTTTATATTTCGCGCCATCTCTCGCGTACATGGTGCTATATGATGTGCTTATGTTATGAATGACGTGTATGTAATGTTGTGTGAATTGTTACGTATGACCTTATGTGTAACCTTTGGGGTCTGATGTATGACCTTAGAAGTATGATGTATGACCATTACGTGTTATGTATGCCCTTTGACTTATAACATACGAACTTAACGTGGTACTTATGACCATGACATGTGATGTATGACCTTGACATGTAACGTATGACCTTATCGTGTTTTGTTTGACCTTTGTGACGTGTGAGTGTTCGTTGACAGTATTTGCGTGACATCCTGTCAACGCTGACGCCGGACGATGTGCGGCACCTGGTGCAAGCGGAGGACGAGCTCACGCAGGCGGCGGACATGCAACGCGTGTTTCCCACGGCACACTCGTACAAGTATCTGCCATACCTCGCTGGCCCGCGTTACTATAACCGGCTGTTCGACGCCTGGGAGACTAGATACGCGGCCAACAGAGAACCAGGTTGGTATTTCTTAACAATCAAAAGTTTGTGTTGGTCACAAGTCGTTTACTCGTGCATCTTTGTCCCATTCGTGTTTCTACCCTGAAGCAGTTGTGTTTGCTGTGCTTCGGTTTAAAGTGTGGGATATGACTGAATTTACAGGGTACAGAGGAATAACACCTGAGTCCTCAGGAATGGCAATGCATAAGGGGGTAATCATGGACGTAACAGTATACTCTGTTGTCCATGGTACTGCTAATGTCTATAGGCGACGGTTACCACTTTCCATCAGGTGGGCCGTTAACTTGTATGCCACTAGAAAAAAAGAGAAATAAAACATACCTTGATCGAATCACTTGTAATCGTAGACAAAAACAGTCACCCGCCAAATATAGTTATTATAAAAAATTATGTGTACTCACATATATCACAGATATTAGTCTGCTATAACCATGTTGACTGATGGGTACATTCGTGGGGGGCGGGGAATCGAGAGCCATCGCCTATAGGTACGAACGACACCATGGATATCACAGATTAACAGTGATGCATATGATACTCTACATAGTTGCTATTTCTGAGAACTAAAGTTTTGACTCTCGCGCACTATAATTTCACTGCCAGTGTATAGTAAAAATATACAATTTAAAGTCCATATGTGTATGCGAATGTGGTGTTCCATAGGCATCGAGCTCCTCCGCAACCTGTGTGACATCGGCTACCATCTGGAGGTGCCGCCCGTGCCGCTCAAGGTAACTGTCACGCACAACCTCACCAATCTATACAGGCGACTAAGGCAACAGTGGCTTCATATGTTTCTAGCTTTTGTCTCCCTTCTCACTATATTCCGGGTTTGGTGACCTTATATACATTTAATATTATTTATATTTATGGTACATTTATTTGCAATTTTTATTATTATAAGTATCTCAAATTACTTTTCCATAATTGTTATTTTAAAATTCGAATTAAATTTCATTACACTATAGATAGAGAACAAATGCGGATTTATTTTAAAACTATAGTCGATGACAATTCATTTTTTAAATGAAGTATCTTTCACTATAATAAAAATATAGATTGGGTAGTCAGAGCTGAAGCATTTTGTGACTTTTAAAATTACATCCATATATATATTATATATATATGACTTCCTCTTTTATAGGTACTTAATTTGTTTATTCTCTTTCTGATTTCATGGTGTAATTATGTGTTGTCAAATATTTATAGTATATTTTTTGGGATATCATGTCAGTAAACAGTACATAATCAAAAGTTGCAAATGAATGATATAAACTTTATATATTTATTTTGGTTTGATTTTTATGTTTATTTTGTTACGTTATTTTAAGGTATATATATTTTAATATTAAGTATAATTTATAATGTAAAGAGTAGGTAGGTTATGATGATAACTTATTTGCACTGCCATTACGATAAGGTCGATAAGTGGATAGGTTTAGAATGAAAGACTATTATGAATTACAGGGCAAGGCTGGAGTTAGTGTGGTGAGAATCATTTATGTTAATCTGGCATGTTTTTTCTCACATTTAGTACATTTCATATTAAAAATGAATTTTCAGTATGGTAATCTGTCATATAATATAATTGATATGTTCTATTTCTATAAAATAATCGATTCTTGTATTTATATTATGACTAATTGACATTCTTCAGAGTTAATTAATAATATATTTTATCCGTTTGTGAGTATTGTTTTATAATTGCGTTATATCTCCATTAAGCAATTAGAAACAAAAAATAATAATAATCTATAGATTTTCTTTTTCATTCAAATATTAATAAAATATGAAAAAATTACCATTTTAAAATACCTTTCTAAAAACAATAGTAACATGCTTATTTAATATGTAACAGATTTCTATATCTTGGACGCTAACAGAATGTCAGTTGTTATAAATTTATTATTATAACTTATAATTTAATTTATGATTAATTGTATTGTACACAAAATAAATTATTATAATTTTTTAAAAGTATTAAACAATAACGAAATTTAGAACACATAATAACATTTAAGAAAAGTATTTTTTTTAATAATCTAAATAAATAGGGACTGGCTGTTTTAATTATTCTATAATTGAAAAATAGTCAGTTACAATTTAATAGACAAATATCATAATGTTGGAATGTGGCTGGTTGTCAGGGCAAAGTGACAAGCGCGCTCAGGCGTGCATACTTGGGTTGTAAGCAGGTCGCTCACAGTAAGTGCGTAGTACGGAACGCGGCCAGAAAGACCGTGACGTCACGAACCTTCGTCGATTTAGTGTTAATCCTGTAACAAATGGTGCTAATAGACGTTATAGAAGATCGATTTAGGATGTTCCCGCTTGTGCACTGAATTGATTTGATGTATAACTTTATGGAACTGTATATAAAAATGTCTGCCAATATTAGTACTAGACCATATTGAGTTTTTAAAGGTAGTGACTACGATCGAAAATTGTGATTTGTTTCTAGTCTTTTTACTGCGATCGTATTTATTCTCTTGATGACAAGGTTGCTTTGAAGCACTATGTTTATCTTTTTCTCTTGCTACTTACGTTATTCATACGTTATAATATAATATATCCTGCCGATTCAGAGCACTTGTGCGGTGAGAGCCTTAGCGTTCATCCTCGGCTAGTCGTTATGTGCTATGTCATAGCTAGACTGTTATAGTAAAACGTATTGATTAAAAAAAAAAACTTATACCACAACTACTTGGAAAGTGTTTTCCTCCTCAAAAATAGGAGTATATTCGGAGGCAGTCTTGTATGAAATATTAATAACTGTTATTTTTTTATTTTTTTATTCATAAAAAGCAACACAGCTTATTCAATATTTTGTTATATCTGTACTAATTGTGTCCCATAACGAAAATGCTAATTCATTGAAATAAAAAAAGTTTTGATTCCAAATTTGAATAGGATAAAGAACACAATAAACTGTTTATGTTGTATATAAATAATTCGTTAATTATTAAAATTGAATTTAAACATCATTATCTTAATTTGGCTACAAATATTAAAAGTTGAAGTGGGAGAAAATGTAGATAATTAACATTAATATAAAATAAACTTGACTAGCTCTTTCAATCGTTATATCAGCTTTAATATCATATAAAATAAGTAAGTGAGTTGTGTCTAATTTCTTCGTAGGTGTGGTATAAAGCACTATGTACGTACACTTGGGAGAATGTACGATTTCCAACTCGAGTAATCGATTTGAGGCTATGGCATCAAGTTTTAACTCGTTGGTAATCGGCCACTTCTTACCTTGTTGATCTGTGTACTATTTTTCTAGAATACTATTGATATATTGTTCATGTGATGCTCAGATGGTTATTTATAACAATTGATAATTAATTATATAGATGGATAAACGTATTTAGGTATTAGAGAGAAATATTTTATACCCATATAATCAACGCATGGTTCTTATGAATATAATAGAAAAGGTGTCTTATATTTTTTTATAAATATTTTAACATAAATATTTCTAGATGTTTGTAGAGAAGTATCAGGTGTATGTTTTAGGTATAATGGGTATCTTATATTTAATGTTATTTATATTTAGTGCGCTATATTTAAAAAGCTAGTAACTTATTAACTATTTTGATATTAGGGACGACTGCGTTGTTAAAGGTAAAATTACATTTTGATTCTATATATTTATATATATATATATATACTAGTATTGTAAATGTATGGCCAAATTATATTATGTCGATGTAGTTAATTTATCTACTGTATTATTAGTTTAGATAATTTTACAAAATTGTTCCTTATATTTAACGTATAATGTAGATATTGATCTTATAAAACAGTACTTATTTGTAAATAATACAAATTTTACACATTTGATTATCAGATATTTAGTAGAAATGAAAATGTTAAATACCTTTAAAATGTATAGTCTGTGTTATTTTTATTAAATATTTATTTAAATTATTATTATTATTATATATTAAGCTATATTGTTTTTAATGTATATGTTATACGCCTTATTATTTCTATATTTCTAATCTACTTTGCTTCTAACTATTATACACTTTAATAATCGTTTCTTTATTGCATGATATAACAGTTTTTTCTCCAAGTGCTTAAGCTATATCACAAGTTTGATAATTTAAAATTAATTGAATTCGTCCCATTCATACTCTTTATTAACTTTCATAGCAGTATCAAAGTTTTTCAAATTGTATGGCCGTGTCATTCATTTTCAGTTCACATTTTTGTATTAGATAATTTTTTTTGAAATGGTCATTTATATTTTGTCTCTAATTATAAAAGCTTTGTTTTTTTTTTTTGTTTTGTTTATGTTGGTATGTGAATTTCACGCATGTGTCACCCATAAACCCTTGTGTGATACAGTTTTAATCCATATGCACCAATGAAGGCTCTGATTCAATTTGAGAATATCTGATAGTTTTGCATTTGATTTTCGACTTCACAACGAGTGAAACTGTCAGATTTTCTTAGAGTATCTGAGCTCCTCAACCGCTCGCAATCGTGCTGATTACACAATGAAACAAATGCTTCACATTCTAATTTATAATATCTTAAATCCATCCTCTAATAGAAACCTTTAGCGATTTCAATCATCTTTACGAATAACAATAATTTGTACACATATAAATGGATTTAAAATATTTGGCATCCTCATCTCTTGGCCACACATATGAGCTTATGATCAAGTACATACTTCATACCTTCATACAGGTTATTAGTTGAAATACCTTTTCATTTTAAGCAAAACCACAAATGCTTATTTTCTTCCCTATATTCCTACAGCTTAAAAGCTTCGCATTCCGCAACTAAACGTCTAGTCCCATATTGTAAGTTATAGTTCCATATTATAAGTGAATCTAGTCATTTATATCAATTTTGTGCCTAAGTATTGTCAAAATATATTTGTTTTTGTCCAAATCTTGTTTTTATAGATTCTTTTAGATCATCCATATAGTCATCAATCAGCACACAAGTCTAGTAGACCGTACATGTCGCTTTACCGCTCTCAGTTAACTGTCTCAAAAATATAACTTACACGTGAGATTATAATTAGACAATTTTAAGAGACAGCTAGCCTCATACGGTAAGGCGACATGGTGGGTGCGAGTGAGTAATGGTGCCCCCTTCCCTTTCCTCCCCGTCCGCCTCCTGCCCCGCGTCGGTCCCGCTCCGTCGTCCTTGGTGTTGTAGCCGGCGGCGCCTCAGCTGAGCGCGTTGGATCGTTGCAGAATGATGTGGACGCGCCGTCGCCGGCCGCCTCGGAGCGGCCTTCCGTGCCCTCGCTCGCGCCGCTGGAGCGCGCGGCCTCCGCCTCGCCCGTCGCCAGCTGCGCGGCCGCAGCCGCCGCGTCCGTCCCCGCCGCCCCCGCCGCGGCCGCAGCCCCCGCGCCCCGCCTCTGCGGCGACGCCGTGGGCCGGCCGCCGGCCCCGCCCCCACCCCCGCCCACAGTGGAGCCGCGCGCGTAGCGCCGCGCCCCCGGCCCCCGCGCCCGCGCCGCCCGCCCTGCCGGCCCCGCCCGCCCCACCGGCCCCGCCCGCCCCGCCGGGGGGCAAGCGGGGCCCGTGGCCCTCGGCCGTGGACCTCAACCGGAATGTGCATTGCGACGCGACCGAGACCGCCATCCCAAGGGACCGCAGCGCGGGAATGTTGAAACTATACTGATCTTCTTCAATTTCACCTGTACCCGGTAACTCGGTCGACGCTCGCGTCTCCAATACACTCGCCTGCGAAATTGTTGTGTTTTAATCGTGATGACGATCGTGAAACAAATTTGATGTAACGATCAGTGAATCCTCGGTGTTCACTGTCCGATTGGCTGGAACGAGCTTATTTCACAACGTTGTTAGTCCAGTAGTGATTTTAATGTGTCTATTGTATGTTTATGTCACTCGATAACCCTTATGGGAGACCTTGTTAGGTTTGTCATGTAGAAGTTACTGTTACATCCTGCCTCCATATCGATGCATTCTTGAATTTTTAACATTCCTTAGTGACTACTACAGTGCTTCACTTTAACACTTTCAATCTTAGAACCATAATAGCGTAATTATTTAGAAAATTAAAAGTAATGTAATATAATTAAATAACTATATAGTGTATACCTTATCGAACAATAAGGAACAAGTCACAAGTGAAGATATCGAGATTACAGTGGTTCTAGGAACGGTAATCCTTTGGAAGTGGAATAATTCTATATAAGTGAAATTGCTGTAGTTAGCCCCTATTGCTCATGATACATAGTAATACATATTTCTCTTCATGTTATAATGAGATAGTGAATAAATTATAATAAAAAAGCGAAAACTAGAAAGCATATTAGGTATTTCATTAAGAAAATAGATCGATACGATATTAATGTTCAATGTAATTGTAAACGTAAGACAAAATTCAAAGAATGAGAACTAGATTATAAAGTTATGGGATCGTTGTAGGTTTTGTTGGGTTCCAATCATGTTTAATAATAAATTTATGATTATTATTTTTTTAAATATTTAATTGATTATTTTCTTGCATAAATTATTTTAGGTTTTGTGTAAACAAACATTTCGTTAATGTAGAAATCTCCATATATGCAGATCGAAATCGAAATTGCATTAGCTTGACTTTTTTTTATATTTTTTTTTGTCGTCTATCAATCCATATTTTTAATATATTTTTTATTTTCCATAAATATGGGTTAAATATCGACAAAAATTTTGGGAACCATATAGTAGGATCACAGTGAACAACAACTAGTGATCTGAAGTTTCCGTGTTCCCAGTGATTTCCTCCGTTAAACTCCTATTTTTTTAATGGCTAACATTCGAATGGTTAAATGTTGAACCACACCTATGTTATCGGCATATACTGGCGGGGCATCAGTTAGGAATGATAGGTGAGGACGTAAACAGGTCACAACCCATCGCGACGCAATCCACAAGAATTACCTAAGTTGGTTTCCAAAAGTAACCGCGTGGAGGTAGACGGATTGCTAACTAGCAATGTACTCTATATTGATAGCTAGAAACGGGGCTGGTAGATTACTATTACCAATAATTCCTTACCCCTCGCTGATCCCCTATAGGCATATACTAATAGCGCGTTGTTAACTTAGTATGGTAAATACTAAGTTTTTGGTCAATTTTTGAACCATATATCTCTGGGAAATGTTTAATTTCATTAGTAGAATACATGTGTAACTTTGCTAATTATTTCGATTTCAAACTGTATAGTTTTTAGTACAGTTAACAACATAACGCTGTGAGAATAAAAATAGGATACGTTGTTGTCAACTGTACCAGTCACTTGTCATTTTCCGAAGAGTTGGTCATAGTAACCGTTGCTATCACGTACTTAGATATAACTTGCCCCAAGCGACACTAGAATCGGTCCCAAATAGACTTAACTATGAATTGTTAATTTTGCATGTTGTACATAGTATATTTATTTATTACTTATAATTTATACATGTATACAGCTTATTTTTGATATGTAGAATTCCAAGTTTGGATAAATTTGAGTTCTCAATAATTTTAACTTCCACGCTTTTGATATGGGTCGACCAGCTTTTCAAGTTATGACACAAAAGTAAATAGAAATCAGTTGGATTTCCCATTATAATTGGTGTAATAGGTAGAAATTTGCTTACGTATTTATATGGTACGCGTTAAATTACCTTGTATATATAAATTATTAATTTCGATTTCATTATGAAATATTGAGATTCTAAAAAAGAAAATATTAAGTATAATAATTTAGGTAATTTCCAAATTACAATGTGTTCATTGTATACCTAGTGTTGCTAGATTAGTGGTTCGTCAGGTAAGTTCGGGAGATAGTGATGTATCGAATCGTGTTCATGTCTTGATAAGAATCGAATAGATCCAAAATATGTATATCTTTGGAATGAAGATACGATTTATTGTATTGTCTAAAGTGTTTCCATTCCTTTAAAATTGTTTTAATAATGTAAATTCGTTGTTGTCCACGCTATGCGTCATTATTGATTTATCAAAACCTAATAATTTTTTTTTTCATGTAAATTAAAAGAATTTGACATGTTTATGACTGAATGTATTACAATTTCCCTATTAGATTTAGCTTTTTTTTTTAACTATAATGTAACAGTGATGACAGGTGTTTCTAATATGTACTTGAATATTGATTTTGAATATGCAGACACTATTATAAATTTTAGGTCAAATATTCACTATCAACCAAAGAGAATAATGCTCACGAGGATGTTCCGAATTGTGTTACAATCGAGAAACCTGTAAAATCAATCGTTATTTTAATGTAAGCATTTAAGTTAGTACTAATGTACCTCTCCATCCACTGGCGGGATAATTTTGATCTGATCCTATGAAACCATTAAAAAAAAGAAATATTCTTTGCTTTTTTTTTACTTGCCCGTACAAATAGTTTTTATTGTGTAACTTTTTCTAATGCTATTTTTATACTTGTGTTTTTCAAGTCTTAAAGACTACAAAAATGTCTGTCTGTTAAATAAATCAAAATTTTCATTTTAGAAATTTAAAAAAAGAAAATAGAAATAACAGAAATAGTTAATAATTTTGTTAATTAATATCAAGAAGGTCACTTACTATTTATTTACACAGCTTATTTCAATAGTGATTATAGGAACCTAATTTTTAGTTTTAAAATAAAGCCGAACAATATTTAAAAATTATCGCAAATATAAAATTTTACGTAAATATAAAGTTTTACTTATATTTATTTAAGGCATAAAACAAGTTTTTTTGTATTGTTAGCATAAAAACTTGGAGATGCCGGGGATCGAACCCGGGGCCTTTCACATGCAAAGCGAACGCTCTACCACTGAGCTACATCCCCTATTGCAAAGCCTTTTTAAATTGGTAATCGCTTTAAATTTTTATATAGTGACAACGTAACAAATGTTACGAAATTTAAATTTTGTAAGAGAAATCTCTACTTAAAATATGTCATATAAATTTTGAAAGATTTTACCTGCTGCCTTTATAAATATAATATAATATAATATAATATATATTATATAAATATATATAAAAGATATATATATATACGTTCGTTCTTTTTAGTCAAGAAAAGATTTTTTTCTTGTAAAATTGCAATTTTCCTTATACATAAGTAAAATTCCATACAAAGTTTCTTCATCCTTACTAATAATATACATCTGAAAGTGAGTTTGTTCGTTTGTGTTATGTCTTAACCGTTTACTATGAAATTTGGGATACACGAACTATAACGTAGACTATAATATACATAAGTATGTATAAGTCAATATACATAAGTATAAAATAACTATTCAGTATTTAATTACATAAGAAACCAGCTACGGGAATTGATTACAAAAACCTGAAATTAATGTTAATACAATTCTATTTCACAAGGAATTGTGTAATGGAAATGTTAATACCTCCTTTTCTCGCCAATAATGAAGATAAACTGTGTTGAATGAATGAATAAGAAATGCACTTACTTTGTAGACATCTACACACTTTATTCTCAGTCGAATAAAATTACAGTAGATAAGAATTCAATAAATGCAGTTAGTACTTCTTTGTTACTATATCTGTGTACTTGTGTACTATGTACAGAGCAGGCTCATTGAATTAAAAATTAAGTATGTGAAAGTACTTAAAGACTTATAATAAGTATCTATATAGAAAACGTTGGACATATTTTTTTTATTTCTATAGACAAATTGGTATTATGACTTCGCTTGAGTCTAGATGACATTATTATGTAACATACTGGTACATAATAAGAGGTACTAGGTTTTTCGACATTTATTTTTAATAATGTATGGATTATAAAAAAGCCGTATATTAATAATTAGTGGTAATTCCTCACTTGTACCTGGGAAATTCCATTTACTCGTACTCATCTCAGAAATGGCGGCATAGTGCTCAGAGATAACTCTGATACAGTAACAGCCTTCTAAGCTTTCCTATTTACGTTGGTTCTTTTCACAGGTTATTTTTTTCCATGGACTTGTAGTTTATAGTGGCAACTATTCATGTAGATGCGTAGGGGGAGTGTGGGGAGATCGTTTAGTACTCATATTGTTAGCAATTTTTCGAAACATATTAATTTCCATACGTAGATACGTATGAAAATTCGCCATCTTCCTGCCTATACTCCAACTTAAGTTTGGCATAATATGGTTTCATTTATATTACACAAGGTTTTGCATTTCGGTTTTATATATAATGTATATGTATGTATGTATATAATACCATATATTCGTTGTTGCACTTAAACGATACATATAGCGATTAGTTTAACAACTTGTTAGCAAGGGAGGGCTTATCTCTGAAAGAGATCTCTTCCAGCCAACCCAGTGTAGTTAGAGAAAAAATAATTTGGGTAATCCAGTGCAGGAAAGGTACCGGCAATACCAGTTATTATTATACCATAACATATATAACTAGACCATCGTATATAAAAAACTGCGATGGCCACAAATGAAGGCTAATAATTGTCGACCGTTTGAGTAAGCTTTTAAATTTTTGATAAAAAAAAAAGTGTATGTGGGTGGGTATGTATTTGTTGACCAATTCAATGTTTTAAATAAATTTTATCGTTTTGTATAACTGCAGTTCAACAGTTTTTGCAGGTCAGCGCTATATATTTTTAATCTTTATTTCTGCAATAAACTGGTTGCCAGGTTTTATGTAGCACGTGCCATTTAGGTCTACGCACTTAATCTCGACATCAGATCGAATTGACGAGAAAATCATTCTGTTTTTATATTCCTTTGAATATTGCATTTGTTCCTAGAAAAAGTCTGCGAGCTGGCGTCGCTATCTCGATATTGCCATATACGTAAATAGATAGGAACAAAGTAATTTCTTTTATGTGAACTTTTTAATTTATTCTTAATGTAGGTACTCTATGTAGGCGCCTACGCCTTGTATTAACTTCCATTTATGCTAAGCTAGAAAGATAGATCTGTCAGATAAATATTGTGTGTAAAAAATCTTGTCTGGGGTATGTTTGTATATTTTTTTTTGATGGTTGAAAATGGTATGGTAACTCCGCCTGCGCTAACGGGATACGCTGGCGGAGCACTAATGAAGGGTGATAGATGAGAATGAAAACAGGTCAGTTAGGCCATCATGATGAATTCGTCAGAAATTAACCATGATAGTTTCCAGGGGGAACCACGAGGAGGTCGACCTGGTTGGGTATATTGCTAGCAATAGGATTCTCAGTCTCCATTACTAACAATCCTTTTCCCCCCATGTTTGTATATTGGAATTGAGGAACTGAATTGGTGATCTGTTATGATTATAACATTAAAGATCATGTTAATGGTCTAGCGGTTTAACATACCGCTTCATTGTCTGGTGGTTGCGGGTTCGATCCGTTCTTTTGTACCGAATCCGAATCGTTTGTATTACATACATACATACATATCTGTCACGCCTGTCTCCCATTAGGGTAGGCAGAAACAATGGAACGCCAAATGCTTCGATTCAAACAAACCTCTTTCGCTTCTTCCACATTCATCAATCTTGTCATACACGCTCGTCGGTTACGGGTACTTTTAATTTCGCCCTTCTTCAGCACGTCGCCTATTTGGTCGACATACGTCCGTCTAGGGCGGCCCCTACCGACATCTCCATTCTTGCTCGATAAATCTCTCGTTTGTATTATTATTTTTAAAACTTATTTTAATTTTTTATCCATTATCTATATGTAATGTAATGGGATGCTCATATTGTAATGAATTGGCTTATTTTTTTTTAATGAGTGAAAATGGTATTGCTCATATTGTAATGAATTGGCTTATTTTTTTTTAATGAGTGAAAATGGTATGGTAACCCCGCCTCCGCTAACCGGATACGCTGGCGGGACACCAGTGAAGGGTGATAGATGAGAATGAAAACAGGCCAGTTAGCCCATCATGATGAATTCATCAGGAATTAACCATGATATTTTCAGGGGGAAAACGAGGAGGTTGACCTGGTTTGGTATATTGCTAGCAATGGGATTCTCAGTCTCCATTACTAACAAACCCTTTCCCCCCCCCCCAAGAATTAGCTTATTTATAGCTGTAATTTAACCACACGTAACGTAACCGGCTACGTATTTAAAGAGGGAAATAAAAAAAATATATAACATTTATAACGTTTTAATAAATAACGATATACTTAGATATATTTATTAAATTTTTGGGTAGTTAACAAAATATTTCTATGGGTTACATTGTGATGACTAGACAATACTGTGAGCTCGTTATTATATACAGATTCTGAAGTTGTTTCTAAAGAACTTACAAGTTAATACTTAATTAGCAAGTTAATATTTACATTTTATTTTCTAAGTTTAAAATTAACGTAATGAGCTGCCGCCATCTATCAGATAATTACATCCCGTAATACTGCTTGCCTGGTCACTGGCTAGGAACGCAATAAGTGCGGCTACTTCGTTTCCTTCTACGGCTCTCTTTAATGGCATATTGCCCACAACATTCTTCACAAACAATTCCAATTGTTCCTCAGTTAAACCTATATCCTTCAGTAAATTCGTTTTCACAAATCCCGGGTTTACAGAGTTGACTCTAACGCCATCTGGTGCTAATTCCAAGGCGATGCATTTCGTGAAGTGGTCCAGTGCAGCCTTGGATATGTTGTATGCTAAAGCCATAGTACTGGGTTTCGAGCTGGCTAAACAAGAAGTGTTTATTATGCATCCTCTGCTCTGTACAAGATGTGGAACAGCTAACATCGTCAAATGGAATACAGCTCTAATATTGGTCGTCATTACTTTGTCATACGATTCCATGTTTGTTTTCTTTATGCCACCCATATCAATAATTCCAGCATTGTTGATAAGTACGTCCAGCTTTCCGAAATGCTCTATAGTTTCGTTTATTATTCTCTGTGCGTCCGCGTCTTCTGTAACGTCGGCCACTATTGCTAAAGGCTTGATACTTTTCGTCTTTTCACAATACAGAGCAATCCTTTTCAAATTATTTTCTTTGCGACCGACCAATACTAGTTTTGCTGACAGTTTCGAGAAGTGTATAGCTGTTGATGCACCTATTCCAGAGCTTGCTCCGGTAATCAATACAACTTTTTCGGCAAATTCCATAATTAAAATTACTTGTTAAACTATACGTTTCGCGTCCAAGGTTAAACAGCTGTTACAGCAAGGGAGTGACACAGATTCAACAGTAGACTAGACAGTTTACACTTGCGTCGAACTCGATACTGAATCAGTCAGTGTTGCTTATAACAAAGTTCGCGGAATTCTACCAAGATACTCTTAGAAATAGGTGTTTATCACCGCTGCATTTAAAAGTATAATAGATGAATTAAGTGGGTATTATGTTGTTTAATTGTAGCTATTAATTTTGAATACTAGAAAGTAACAAACTGAAATTTTAGATTTGTTTCAAAGAAAGCCAGACTTCAAGAAAAAGTCTAAAAGCGTATACAAAAGCTGAGTCGATATACTGTGACATCAAGATTCTGTGGTATTAGCATGCCTGTAATGTAATGTGGTGTCCATAATACAAATTATGAGAGTAGATAACACAAAACATAATCGATCAATCAAATACTTTGTTTGCTACTTTACCAAATTGCAAATATACACTCTTTTTCTATCCCAAAATAGATCTGGCAATGCGATAAAAAGTACGCACATTATTAGATACTCATTGAACCTATCTGAGTGGTGGTATTTTGATATATACGTATGTAGGCAGGAAGATATCTATTTTCGCTCAACGAAATAATAATAACTGTATCATATTTTATAAGGTCAGTTTTCTTACACGTTTTATATTTTATTTATTAAAAATTATCTGATATAGTAGTTTATTTATACTACGGCAACACTGATAAAAGGGGCGCGGCGCACGTGACAAAGATGAGATATTCAGAAAAAGGCGGGAAACTCGAATAAGAACAAGCGGGTTTTTTAAATTTTTTTTTATTAATTTATAAAAACTATCTCTATCAATTCTTATTATTGAATAAAATATTATATTTTCACTAAATTCAGTGACAGTAATATAATTAGCATTCATGGGGAAGCGCAGTTGTAGGAAAAGGAAAAAAAAGATGACGATTCAGGTGATGTAGACCATGAACCTTGTAATGACAAGGATATATATTCGGAAGATCTTCTACTGACTCAGAATCTGAAATTGATAAGGCCGATAAGTATAAACCTTACTACGTCACAGATTATATTAGAAGATATCGAGGAATCCATGGGACAGAATTTGTTTTCTTTGTAGAATCCTCAGATAGTCAGAAAACCATTGGATCCAGAGACTTGCTCTCACTCTCCTCCTGTTTAAAACGATTTAATAAAGGGGTAACTTATCTTAGATCTATAAATAAATTCAAAATCGGAGTATACTTTCAAAAGCCAGACTTAGCCAATGCTTTTTTAAATAATAAAACTTTTTTAAATGACTACCATTTTAAGGCCAGTATTCCTGCTTCTTCAACAGAAGTTACAGGCGTTATTAGAAATGTACCTACAAATATATCTAATAAAAAAATATATACTATGATATCGAGTTCTAAGAAAATTATTGCTATTAAAAGAATTTTAAGAAAAAATACCTTGACTCATGGATATGTGTTACAGCCAACTCTAACCGTGACAATTACTTTTGCTGCATCTGTATTACCTGAATATCTGGTATTGGAGGTTGGCGCCACAATGTCACTCCATATATACCACCAGTTAAACAATGCTACCGGTGCTTGAGGTATGGACATTTAGCTAAATTCTGTAAGAATTCTGAGCGTTACAGCATCTGCAAAGGTGAGCATAATTATAAAACTTGTACAACTGGAATGGAAAACGCTATTTGTGTACACTGCAATGGAAATCACACAAGTGTATCACCGCAATGCCCTGTTAAACAAAAGAAAATTGCTGAAAATAGATCTAAATTCAGACCTGCTTCTTTTGGAGATATACTTAGCACTGAAATATTTCCTAAACTGGGTAACAAACCTAAAAAAAATGTAGACCTAATTTCAATTCTAAATTCTGATAACAAGAGTTTATCACTTTTAATAGAAAGCATAATCAAACTTATTTCACTACATAACACAAAGAACACATCTATTAACACTAAAAGTGTTTTGAATGTGTTATATGATACTTTTGGTAATAGACCTATTTCACAAAATTCAATCGAGACCAATTAACTATCATACAGTGGAACGCTCAGAGCCTACTGAGCAATCGACATATTTTTACACAATTTTTAAATGAACATCATATTCACATTGCTCTCATCTCAGAAACTTGGCTAAAACCACATTACAAATTAAAAATTAAAGATTATTGTATAGAACGAAATGATTGTGGTAATAACCACAATGGAGTAGCGATTATTATACATAATAGTATTAGATATAAAAAACTTCACTCTTTTTTCGACAATTCTTTGCAAACTATAGCTATTAGTATTGAAGTTAATAATTCTTGGTATTCAGTTGCCAGTATTTACTGTCCTACCAATAGTACACCTAGTTTTACTAAAGCCAAATTTAAGTTCTTTTTGGAGTCTCTTCCTAAACCCACTATCATATCTGGAGATTTAAATGCACATCATACTATGTGGGGTTGTACCTCCACTAATACAAGAGGTAAAGACATTCTTGATTGTTTAGATGAATGTAATTTGGTACTATTAAATGATAAGCAAGTTACTACTGTTGGCTCTCATATTTGGAGACCCAATGGCCTTGATTTAACTATGGTATCCCCATCCATATCATTAAAATGCGAGTGGTCGGTTCATGATGATCCGTTAGGAAGTTATCACCTGCCGACTTTTACTAAAATAAACACAAAGAACTCTTCATCAACTCCGTCAGGTGAACAACATGCTCCTATAGATGAAGTTAATAAACTGTTGTTAAATCGTATAAACCTACGTCTCGTTAATTGGGATCTTTATTCTGAAACTGTTAATCGATTACTTTTGGATTTCGAGTATGATGTCAATGAACCCTTAAACAATTACAATAGGTTCTGTAAAATTATTTTGACAGCTGTGGAACGTTCCGCTCCACGTAGGAACTTATCAAATAGCGGTGCAAATACTTCAAAGAGGCACAAACATATTGCAGTACCTTGGTGGAATAACAGGTGTGCGACAGCTGTCAATGATAGTAAAGCGGCTTACCTTAGGTTTAAACAAAATCCAACTCTCGATAATTACATAAATTTTAAAAGAGTTCAAGCTGTTAAAAAGTTAGTAATTAAGCAAGTAAGACAACAGGGGTGGCAGGAATTTTGTTCCAAATTTAATAGATTAACACCAATTTCCACTGTTTGGCAAAATATGAGAAAACTAAATTCAAAACATCGTCAAAATCATTTTAAAGATATATCATGGGTCAATGATTTTTTACGCAAATATACTCCTGATTTTGTACACTCACCTTTTGATGACAAACAGTTTAATTCTGTTAATTCATGCCCAAAATTTCTCACTGACCCATTCTCAATTGATGAAATATCCAGTGCAGTAAAATCTAGAAAAGATACAGCTAGTGGCCTTGATCGCTTAACATACAATATGTTTCGATTGCTGAATAAAATAAACCTTACTAAACTCTTACAAATTTTTAACGATTTATGGAAGGACTGTATTATCCCACCAGAATGGAAAATGGATTGTTTGATTCCAGTAATTAAACCCGGTAAAGATCCTACAAATTTCGACTCCTATAGACCTATAACATTGACGTCCTGTGCAGGCAAATTATTCGAACAATTAATTAAACAGCGTTTAGAGTTCTTTATTGAAAGTAATAGTATATTACCATCGAATCAATTTGGTTTTCGCCGTGGATATTCAGCGCGCGAAAGTTTAGCGAACTTCTATGTCGACCTTAGTACTGCTTTGAATAACGATGAATATGTTCTATCTGTTTTTTTAGATGTCGTAGGAGCTTTTAACAATGTAAATTTAACAGTTCTATCTTCGATTCTATCCTCATTTCTTCCAATGAAACTTATCGAATGGATTTATAATTTTCTTAGTAATAGAGAAGTGTATGTTAAAGTAAATAGTAAATTAATAGGACCTAGGTTAAGCTCTAAAGGAGTATGTCAAGGTGGTATTTTAAGCCCGCTACTATATATTTTATATATCTATAAACTTAATTTAGTTTTAGGAAACAGTGTGAACAACTTGCAATTTGCCGATGATTTATTAATTTATATAAAAGGAAAGAATATTATTGATATGCAATTAGTGTTAAATGAGTCATTAAAAAGACTTGAGAAATATTTTTCTCTTCTTTCCCTCGATATTAGTTTAACCAAAAGTAAAGTAGTTGTTTTTCATCAAGTTCATAAATATGTTCCATTAATGAATATTATATATAATAATCAAACTCTTCCAACAGACTGTAGCGTTAAATTTCTGGGGGTAATTTTTCATCAAAATTTAAAATGGGATCTATACGTTGATTGCTTAGTAGATCGTGCTTTAAGAGCCACTAATATAATAAGATCTGTAATTGGTCGTAACTGGGGAGCTGATCCTAAAATTATCCTTTTACTTTACAAATCTCTTGTTAGAAGTAATTTTGATTACGCTTTCTTTTGTTATGCCTCAGAACATAAATTAGTAGAAAAACTCGAAAAAATTCAAAATATGAATTTAAGACTTATTTTAGGTGCTATGTATACTTCTCCAATTATCTCAATGCAAGTAGAATGTAATTTGCCTCCTATCCTTCTTCGTTTCGAATACCTAAAACTCAAATTGCTCTTCAAAGTTTTTTCAGTTTCCAATAACCCACTCATACTCAAATTATTAAATTGCCCCATTTCTATGTTTTTGAATAAAACTATTATCAATGATTTGAATTTACGAGATGAATATAACATCTATAGTAGTAAGATACTTCCTTGTTATAATGGCCTTTATGAGAGTAAGTTCTGTAAGATCAAAATTGTTATACATAAAGACATAAAAGAAAAGCACGATATGTATGAGACTTTATCAGAATTTATTGACTACAGGCAGATATATACAGATGGTTCCAAAAATGCACTTAGCACTTCAGTGGCTTTTTACGATTTGTCAAATAGATTTGGTCACGGTTATAAAATTTCAACTTTGGCTAGTATTTACACAGCAGAAGCAAAAGCTATATTTTTAGCATTAGAATACATAGAAAAACAGGTACTATATTCGAAATGGATTATAATTACAGATAGTATGAGTGTTCTTATGGCATTAAAAAATAACACAATCATTTCATCATCAAACTACTTAATTCAAGAAATTCGTAATAAATATTATCATCTTGTACTATATATGGAAAAGATATTATCTTCATCTGGACCCCTTCACATATTGGAGTGTTTGGGAATGAACAAGTAGACACTTTGGCTAAAATTATTAATTCAAGTGCTGCTCGTGTTCAAGATTTACCCCTTTGTTACTCAGATTGTAGTATTGGAATACATAAAATCATTATAACTAAATGGGAGGAGCATTGGACTCAAATATTACAGACTAAAGGCAAATGGTACCGCAAAATTAATTGGCGTATTGGAAAACCGTGGTTCTGCAAAGGAAAGGACACAAACAGAAAATTTTACACCAATATTTGTAGATTACGAATCGGCCACGGACATTTCAACGAACACCTGCACCGAATGGGCATGATCGTTCCCCATCATGCACATGGTGTAACTCAAATACAGCCCAATCTCTACATCACCTTTTTTTGATTGCTCTGAATTTGTCATTCAAAGACACATTATGATTGACGAACTTAGGATTATCTTCAAAAAACCGAAAATATCCCGCACTCAATCCCGCTTCTCTTAAGATTTCCTTCTTGTTTCAAAGCTATTTTCACTTATATTACTACAACATTCAAGGAGCTATAAGAATACTTTTATTGAATTGCAAGACAATGATTTTTTATAATTATTTATTTTTAATTTGATAAATCCACTGGTTTAAGAAAACTCAAGAAAAGATATTTATGAAAATGTACTTACCGGATTTGACAAATGAAATATTGAAGATTATGACAATAATTGAAGCGACATTAGAAAAATAAAATTCCAGACAAATTATCTTTTTGAAGACTAGGCAGCATGGTCTCCGACCTTAGCCTGTTCCAAACGGAACAAACGTACTAAAAAAAAAAAAATGAGATATTCAATCATAGGAATTTATCTTTTGCATAGGCGCATAGTGCGTGGACCTTTTATTATATTGATATTATCATAACAAGAATATAGAGTTCTAATTACAATTTTATTATTTTCATGGTGTTATATTTAAAATAGATTAAATAACAAAATAATTATAATCTTAAAAATAATTTATTTAGGCAGGTAATAATATTTTATGTACAATTTAAATTTATCATTATTTTGAATTTAGTTTTATAATTGTGTTAAATGTTATTAGAAACTGACCTTCTTAAGTTAAGATTTTAAACGACATAAAACAGGTTTTTCAAAATTTCTGTGTGTTGTACGGTTTACAGTTTGTCTGTCTGTAAGCATTTTATGTATGAATAGCTAATTTGCTAATGATGAAATTGTTATAGTATGTTAATTTAAATACACATTATCATAATTTTATACACTATGGAAAGTAAAAAAAAAAGTACCAGTAGATAGAAAATATGTCTACAACAGAAATAATAAGTAAAAACTATCTCAAATATTTGGTACTTACTTAATTCTTACAATTTAAACATTTGTAAAGATGTTAGTCACGTTTAAGCAGACGAATAGATTTGAATGAAATTTTTGTACACTTATATCAAATAGGATACTTTGTATACTGATTTACGTAAAACTACAAGATACCACGAATAATAAACGTGAAAGTGAGTTAATCTTTTGAATTGTTGTTATTGTTTTAATAAAAGCTATAGACTGTATTTTAATTATTTATATCAGTTTAACTCGAGTATTAAATTCAGGGATGTCCGACTAGTTCCAAACATGATAGTTTGTTGTTGTTTAGTTTGTCGTTGTTTAGTTGGTTGTTGTTTAGTTTGTTATTGTTTCGTTGGTTGTTGTTTAGTTTGTTTGTGACCATTGACATCTTGGCGCATTAGTATAGCCTGGCATATGTGACATACGATAAAGCAGTATAAATAGTAGCTCGTGTCTTCCATGTGAAAATATTTGGTACGGAGAAAGACACAGGCTGCTTTTTATCTCGGGCAAACCGACTCGTTATACTAAGTTGTAGGCCTGGGGTAAAGAGAAGTATATAAATAATTATTGAGCGTTTTATTTTATTTTTTTCTTTTGTACTACCACAAAGATTCGCAGGGCGGTAACAAATTACTCACAACTGTATTTTTAATATTTATTATATAATATTTGTAACATATAAAAAGGGGTAAAAGGGTTTCTTCAGGGTCGGCAACCCCCCTCTGGTATTGCAGGCGTTCATAGGCTACGGTAACCACTTACCATCAGGTGGGCCGTATGCTTGTTTGGCACCTCAGTGGTATAAAAAAATAATAATTTTTTCCATTTTTTCCATTAAAATGTAAGCCATTAAATTGTATTGTTATAATATTTTATGGTTTTTGGTGAGTGCATTGGTAAATCTGTAAAGTTCCAAAAAATATATATTATGACTATAAATAAATAAAAATTACGCCGTTACGTAATCGATATAAGTTTGGAAAATTGTTTATTTCTACTAATACTACACAATGAAAACAAAATCATAAAATTATTCAGTTTTAGGAAGTGTAACTGACTATTTTTTTCTAAGGAACAAGTGTCGAAAAATGCAAAAAATGAGTACTAATTCAATGAGTCTATGAGTCTTCCATACTAATTCAAGCGTTGGATGCGCCTTGTTTGTAGGAGGTTTAAAATTTCTGGTTATACACTTATACCTACTTCCTTAAGAGATTTAACTCTGTAGATGACTTTATGGCGCAGTGGTGGGCATGTTGCTTTATGAATATGTCTCCGGTTGGATTTGTGGTCTGGGCAATTTAGGAAATGAATTTTCGTAACTGACTCGGGTCTGGTTATCCTTGGTTGTACCTTCATATGTTCGTTGCCTGGTTCCTCATAACACTGGGTATCTTAGTTTGAGGATTAGGCGATTTGTGTGGTTGTGTGGCATTTTATTTATTTAATAGATTTCGGTTTGGAAAAAATATTTAAGATTAGCTTCCGTTCGTTACTTCATACTTGCGGTTTTTTTTAAATTTTACTGAACTTTAGATATTATCTTGCGGAAGTTCATATGACTGGTTATTTGATGACAAACGTGCATGAATAAAAAGGCAGTCTGAGACTGAGGGAATATGGAAAGTTGGCCGTTGGTCTCGGCATAGAATATCACCCCTTCCTTTCCCGTGGGTATCATAAGAAACGACAAAAGGAAGTCAATGGTAGAGGGATGAG